ACCCATAAGACTGCAGAGCTGCTGACCTGGGAGGTCATGCAGGAGACTTGGAATTGTCTTAGCCTGCTTAAAATTTAGTACTCTCCCACTTGATGGCTGACTACTTGCAATTACCTACCTTCTTTACCTACAGACGTCTTTGGAAGACTAACAGTAAGAAATGCGAGCTGCTCATCCACTTACATGCTTCTACCAGGACACATGGGAATTCCACGCTTGTGAACACTGTGCCACAATTATGGTTTAAAGCAGGCAGCACAGGAGGATCAGCCACTTGCCTGCACATCACCTTTGGGGCTTAAGAAACTTACTTAACTACAGAACGAAAAGCCTTGTGCCAACTGGGAGCCAACTTCAATGTTGGAAGCTGTGTGAGAGCTTATAAGTTGTTCTGATCAATGTTTAAAAGAAGTGTGTCCTAGAGGAACCATTTAGTTTTGATTGCCTAGGATCTTATTATTTGCAGTTTAGTACATCACTGGGGAAGGCTCAGTCATCAAGCCCTCACTGATGTCAGGGTCTTCTCACTTTTACTCCTCATCTGTGTTCAGGCCAGGCTGAACACTCAGGAAGTGTTCAAGGCCAGGCTGGACGGGGCTTGAAGCAACCTGGTCTAGAGGAAGGTTTCCCTGTCCAGGACAGTTCCAACCCTTTCTGGCAGGGGCCTAGAACCGGATGAGCTTTAAGGTCACTGCCCACCCAAACCATTCCATGATTCTATGACTAAAGCCTTCTATCTTCCATCTGAACACAAAAAATATCAACAAAAACCTCAGCAAAAGCCATCTGATGACCTGATGATATTCCTTTCCCTATCTGCACCTTTTCCCTAGCCTCCATTCTTATATTTGAACTAGAGAAGATGAACACTCTTTTTTTCATTTAGAAGTAAAACCAAGGAATAACCTTTCCTTCTGCTCTAAGGAAGGTGTCTTAATACCCACACTTAACCCTTGCTCTGAAAAATGAATGTTACACTGCTAAGCTTGTTCAGCACAAGAATTCCTCTAAATATTTTGATTCTTTTTGTCATGAGCATCCATATGGATACATTTCCTATTTGGGCATGACTTTTTTCCCCACAGAAAAATGAAAGCTGTGACCTCAAAACTTTCAAACTTGTGGAATGAAGTTCACATGACTGTATCATGCCTTTGATTTTCTGAATTGTTTACCTCATGGAAAGTAGCACAACTTCCTTGCTGCTTGCACAACTCAGCTGAATGAATGTATTTTGGCTTTACCTGACACTCTCGCTTATAAAAGTACAAAGTGTCACAAATTCTTATTGTAACTTATTCAGAAGCAATGCTTAGTCTCACGTAAGGTGCACTGCAGTCAATGGGAATCAAAAGAAATACTTTCTTTGGCTTCAGGTGGTCTTGACTCAGGTGGCATGCATGCTATTATTAAGGAAGGAGCTTAAAATTACAAGGAAGCCACATTAGTAGCTTCTTCTTTGCAAAAGGCCTGCTGGGCTTAAAAAAGAAGAAGGTTAAAAAAAGAACGTTGGTTTTTCTGTGCTATACTAAAAATGGCATATGGTGTTTGGTCATGGAATAAATAGTACTCAAACGTGCAAAGAATTGAAGAAGAGTCTGAATGGAATCCATATAAATTTTAAGACACAGTTTCTTCAGTGGCAAAAGTGGAAGAAAAAAATGTTGCTAGCTCTGAAAACTTCATAGGAAAATATAAATGCACTCGAGTGATCTACAGGACTTCAGGAGAGTTCAGATTCCTGAGGTGGTAAGATGAAAAGTATCTAATTTTATTATTGCTTATTGGAAATCACAGCAGCCAAAAAGATCATTAACAGCTCAAGACCAGAGAGCATGGAGGGTTTAAAAATAGAATAGTGTCTGTGCCTTGACATGAGACTTATTCACCCTTAAGCTATTTAAGACTGCAAAATATTTGTAAGACAGTATCTTAGAAACACAATGACATGGAAATCCAGAAGATTCAGACTCATACCCACCCTATTGTGCTGACAGGATGATTTCCTAATACCTAATGAACCCTAGCTACTGTTTTGTCTTCAAGAACTGACAAAACAAAACCAGTTACCAACTAGGCAGAGATTTACCTACTTCTGGTTTTCATATCCACTACCTCAGAACAGAATTCTCACTTCTAACTAAATTTTGTTAGTTAGATCATTAATATGTTTCTGCTTAAAGGGGGAGAATTGGCATGAAGCCACATTAAATGGGAGAAGGAGAGAAAATTGGAAAGGACAGGCCAGGTTCTGAGCCCAGCTTTACTTGTGGAGGTCCCACAAAGCAATAAAGGTGTGACATACACAGTGGAGCCCTTCTGCTTCCTCAGTCACTTCCCCTCAGAGCTGAATTCAGCAAGACACAGCAGAAGGAATCCCCAAGTTTCATTCCTTCAGTTTTACCATTTAATTCTTAAGAGTGAATGCATTTTTCAGTTTAAATGAGCAAACCAAACAGCATCCCTCCTTGTTGCAAGCCCATTTCAAATGCTTTACCAAACGTTCTTACATGTTACATCCTGCTTAGTGCCTAAGACTAAAATCAGAAGCAAGTTAAAGCTCCCAGGGTAAAATCAATCAGCTAATATTTAGTGTTTAGGTCAGTGCTGGCAGCTTTCCCATTTTAGGTGGAATTCACTTCACCCCAAAGTGGGGATCTGAAGCAGCCCAAACACAAGATTTACCTTGGATGTTGTGGAGAAGATGTCTGGAAATAAAGTAGTTGGTACCTGGAAATCTCAATTATGGCCTCCGCCTTCCGAGTACACAAAGGGCATCACAGATCCAGTTGGGAGCAAACTGCAACATGAATTCCTGCATTTCTCAAGTCAAACAGTACTCAGTTGCATGTTCAGAGCCCAAGGAGGACTGGGAACAGAACCTGTCCCATAGGAGAAACTCTTGCATATTTATTTCAAATAAGCAAAGGGGAAAAAAAACAACCAACCCACAAAAAAAAAAAAAAAAAAACAAAACAAACCCACAAAGCAAACAAACAACAAAAACCCCCAAATGAACTAAACCAGATTTTATATATATTTGCTTTTCTTAAAAAATGATTTCATGAAAGTTTTATAATTCTCCAAGTAGTAATACAGGGGTTTTATATATACAAAACTCCATTTCAAACAATTTACTGTACAAAAGAAAGTATAAGCAACTGTTAATATTTCATGATTTCAGCAAATAAGGAACAATTCTGATAAGTATGTTTTCAGGATATAGTTCCACCATTTACAGGAATGTCAGTAATAAGTCGGGAATACTTTTGGATAAGTATTTACACATAAAATCCCCTTTGAGGCAGTTCCCCAAAGATTTCTCTTCTGAATAGGTAGTTCACATTTGGCTTTCTTCTGGATCGTTTGGGTTCCAAGGAATGAGAGGAAGAACATGGATATACAGACAGAATTCTGCTTGATCTATTCCCACTCACAGTCCTGTTGCAGTCAGTGGGCCTGATCTAGTAAATACTACCAGGAGTAATGCTTGTGTGAATAGACCAGGCAGGATTTGTCCCTACAGTTGTAAGCTATCAAATTTACAAATCAAAGTTACAAGTTTTTAAAATAGTGACATTCCTACAAGTCAAAATATAACAGAAATGAGAGTTAACAAAATATAAGCCCTTTATTAATAAAAATCTTTGGTTGGATCAATATCTTAAATAAGCTTCAAGAATACTTGGTTAATACCATTTTCTTTCTTCCACATAATTACTTTTCTGGTACCTTCTTCGGACAGACTATAGAAATATATCAGGTTTATCACATACTTTAAAACAAATAAATAGATCAAAAGCTAAATATGGCATTTTTCTTTTTTAAAGTTCTAGCATTTATCTTTAAATCAGTTTGACAAAGAAAAAAGGAAAGGAAAAGGGAAACAACTAACTTCTCTTGAAAACAGTCTTTTGATGTTTGGTTTTGTAACAAACCATACAGTAGTTAGACTTTAAAGGAATCTTTCCTTTTTCTTTTATTTTTCAGTTTGATATTTGTAATGTAAGTGCCATGGACAAGACAAAGCAATAAAAGAAAGGAGGTTAATTGCACCAGTATTATTTGGAAGTGCAGTTTTGTCATTTGACAAAGCAAAACTAAAATGTCCTATGCTTCAAAAGAGGTGTATTGATGGGATTTAGGTAGCCATTTTAAGTAAGGACTTTAGACTTCTACTTTAAGGAAGCTCCTTCTACAAAAGATAGAGTATTTTAAGACAAAAGAAAAGTCCTGTGACTAACTGACGGTCTGGTCCTGTAGCCCCAGTGCAGGCAAAACTTCCATTGAGGACAGTAAATGGGACGTGGTTTGGATTTACTCCTCTGGCACAGCCTCCTTGAAGTGCCATTCAACAGCAGAACATCTGCAGGAACAACTGGCTGTGAAAACCTCTTCTGCAGAGGACAGAGGGCAGACAAAAGCCTGGCTGAGAAAGGGATGTGCTAAACTAATGGGAAAAGGGAATTTCCTCAGCAACACCAGTGTCTGAGTACTAGGCAGGGCTTTCTACATGTGCTCATTAATTCAGGGCATTTAACCAAATGCTCTATGATCATCTACCTTCTGGGAGCATCTCCAGGGTTGTGCTGCTGCTGCCTGGCCATATGCAAGGAGCTGCTGGGGCTCTGCACACACACAATTGGGGCAATTTCATATCCACATCAGCCCTGCACTGGTAAGAAAGAACTTTTCCAGGTTCATTTTTCTAATGTTTCTGAAAAGAGCAGTACCCTGGTGCTTGTTTCACACCTCCAGGGTCACACTCAGATGTCTGCCAGCAGAGCTACAGCCTGACATGGAAAGCATGTCAGTCTGACAGGCTTTACGTGGTGTCTGTCCTGCCAAAAGGAATACTAGGGCACACTCTAAAGCTGATTTTGCATACACTTTATAGAATCATAAAATCATATAATAGTTAGGGTTGGAAAGGACCTTAAGATCATCAAGTTCCAACCCCCCTGCCATGGGCAGGGACACCTCACACTGAACCATATGGAGTTATCCCATAGACCTTCAAGCCTGGGGTTTCAAAAATATTTTAAATATTTTAAATTACTAGTATTATCACTTAAATGACTAGTATTATCACTTAAAAGTTACCTTTAGTTAATTAATAGGCTAAGGGCAGATTCTCAGAGAATATCAAGACATACTAAGTACCTGAATTTCTTAACACACACCACCATCAATAGTGTTATTAAAAATTCCCTGCATTGCTGCTTGTGCAAAAGAAAAAAACACATTATCAGAAATAGACTGTGGTCCTCCATGTTTGTAAGAAGAGCGTTTCTCACAAAGATGGGAGTAAAATGGCAGCACATCCTTCAACATGCACCAGGTTGTCCATTAATCGAGTCCTGCCCCAAATGCAATGGCTTGTGTATCAGTGGAATGCCCCGACATACTCAATTCCCTCCTCTTCTAGACATCAAGAGGGTATGAATGGCAGGAGGACAAGCTCCCACTGTGGCTCCTGGAGAGTCTGGGGCTGTGATTGTTACAGTTTTCACCTTTTTTCTTGTCCTTATCTTTCCAGGTTTCTAGCAACTGCAGCTTCCCTTGCTCTTCTCTCATGAAGACCTCCACCATGAGAACTTTCTCTTTATGAATCTGCTGACTAATGTCCTTGGGAATGTCTGGGATAATCCAGTCAACAAATTCACTCATAAACATGACCAAGTTCTGAAAATGAAATTATGAGAACATGTCAGCAAGATCAAATGAAAGGATGACTGTAGGGGAAGGGGGCAATTTTCAGTGTACTTAGGAAGGAAGAATAAGGGACAGTATTTGAGTTGGGCTCAACTGCATGTCACAAGCCTGATACCAAGCCAAATTCACCTCTACTCCTTGCTAGAAGAAAAATGGCAGGCACAGATCTCTTGTTTTATGTACAAATACTGTCACAATCACTTAGAAATTCAAGAGAATACTGACATTGATACATGGCCTAAAAGTTTCACATCAGAAGGACAGAAGCAAACAGGAAGAAGTAAAATGATGCAAGTTGGTAAAATACATTCCAATGAAATGTTCCTTATTTTAAAACTCTAACTTCGGAAATTTTGAACATTTAATTTCTTGGCTAGGTTTAGAAATTATTTGGGATGAAACTGATGTTGCTTCAGTGAATTTGTTGTTGTTCCCCTGGAGAAACTGGTGGAATCTAATCAGTATTGGCCTTGTGCTTTGCTGCTCACTAAGGTTATTCTGTTGCTTCTGCATCAAACCGGTTCAGGGATTCTCTGGGGGTTACTTTTTCCACTGAGGATATACCTGGCTCTGCATGGGTGAAGAGGGTGAATAAGGATGGGCAGCTGAGAAAGAAGATCTTTTTTTTTTTTTTGACCTAATAGCTTGTTTCCAAAGGTGGCTTGCCTTACGTAGCTAAAGAAATAGTATAATTCTTTTTCTTTCCCAGATAGAAGGTACCTGCAGTACAACCTACCTGGAAAACTATCACAAATGCTAATCTTGCTGCTAGGACAGCCCAGAAATCCTTTGAAATGTCATACTTGTTTTCAGACCAGGGGGGTTCTCGATAATCTTTGTATCTGCAAAACAAGACTCAGTAAATCAGTGATGTCATTCAGAAATCTTAGCACCATGAGGAATTAATACCAAAGTGTTGAACAGGAAATCAAACCTTCTAAAAACAAGTTCACTGCTACAGTATGAGACATTATTAACCTCTTAACAACTGAAAGCCTCCCACAAGATTTACACCAAATTAAGGGTCTTCCATCTTACTACCCTCTGATTAGCACAAATAATACCAATTCTGCATAAATATGAATTACAGTTAGATAATTTATTTTAAGATCAGTAAAAACTAACACAACCTATATTTATAAGGCTAATTTTAAAAACACAAATACTGATCTGAGATCTATGGGGTGTGTTATACTAGTGTTCTCCTTGCTCATGATCAGCTCATGTCTGCCATATAGACAGAAGATGAGTATTTTTCCTTAGCTGTTGCTCACAGAAAATCTATGAGCTCATCAACAATAACATGTTAGAAACGGGACCAAGAAAAACACACTAAACTTGAATCACAGCATGATTCCTATGTTGAAGCAATTAGGGTTCCATGATTTCAAATTATTTAAAAATCCATAGAATATAAAGGAAATGATGAGATGAGAAAAAGAAAGAGGCTAGGAGTAGTAAGCAAATAAAACTGGCATCTTTGTATTGGACTTCTATTCCATCAGTTCTGTGCTAAGAATATGTTTGCAACCTTATTTATTCTGTGGCTGAGATCACCAAGAGAAAATAAAAGGAAGCAAAGCTAGTCAGCTTTCTCTTTTTTCCTCCTTGAAATGTCTCTTCCCTCTTTGTTTTCCTCTTCTTCACCTCCTTTATCCCTCTTTCAGTTTTGCAGTGCTTTCACTGTTACATTACAAGGTCCTGCAGGGACAGGAAAAGGAGGAATGGCTTTCCACTGAAAATAGGAAGGTTGAGAGGAGATCTTAGGCAGAAATTCTTCCCTGTGAGGGTGGTGAGGAGCTGGCACAGGGTGCCCAGAGAAGCTGTGGCTGCCCCATCCCTGGCAGTGTTCAAGGCCAGGTTGGACAGGGCTTGGAGCAACCTGGTCTAGTGGAAGGTGTCCCTGCCTGTGGCAGGGGGTTGGAACTGGATGAGCTTTAAGGTCCCTTCCAACACAAACCAGTCTGGGATTCTATTATTTGGCTTTGGTCCCCAGTTCTAAATGTTAAACATTTGTTTTGAAGGTGATGCATATGGAGGGGAGCTTAGACAAAGTGTGTGTTTCAGCACTAACCTAGATTGCTTCCTAAGCTGAACTATGTGACAATAATTTGCTTTAAAAATGAAAAGAATATGTAGATATTGTTACAGGCATGCAGATTTCAATTTAAATAGGTCTTAAGTTCAACAACAATTTAAATAGGTCTTTGGTTCCAGTGTAGAAAAGGATGCTATTAATCTCATCAGGAATTGTTACAGAAACACCATATCAACAGCATGTGGTATGACAACATGACATCAGAGTAACACCATTTTCTTCCCTTAAAGCATCACTGTACTCTTTATCATAATTTACCTCTTTTCCTGAAAAAAGGAATACATAATAAGAAAAATCATTGCATGGATAAACACTGACTTGAACAACGCTAAGCCCCGTTTCCCAAAATAAGCAGGTTTTGTGGTTGCTTAAATATGTAAGCGAAAATGTTCAAGGAAATGGATCCATCTGATAGAAAAGACTACCAAGGTGCTAAAAAGGTCTTGAAAATACAAGGGACCTGCCCCAGGAATGTAGAAATTTGTCCCATTCTTAGTCAACTGTGAAAACACTTAAAATTAGTTATCATTCAAGAGAGTACCTGCATATCTGAACCTCGTAGCCAAGATCCATGGGGTCATTGGGAGCTGTTCCTGCTTGAAAATCGCTGACATTAAAAGAAGACAGTGTATGGTTCACGAAGCCATGCATGGTGCCATTCTTACTGTACATATACAGGTACACGAGGCGTGGAATGAAGTCAGATGTGAATGAGATCACAAATGCCTAAGCCATAAGAGTAAAGAGTGAGCACAACGTTCAGGCAGTGGTTAAGTTCATAATATCCTCAAGTATGTCTTGTCCAAACTCATGCAACTGAGGGACTGCTTTAGTAAACAAAGGGAGAGATTGCAGCCCACAGGGTCCTAAAAATGGAGTATCCACTGCTGCAACAAGGTAGGATTTATTGCTTACTCTTTTCAGTTGCAGAATATTAGGTGGAATAGCTCCATGTTGACTGAGATTCCTACCTGGAGAACAACTTGGACTCTGCAGAGAATGAAGCGGCCATACTCCCAAGCACCAGAGGAAAGCAAAATATGGCACTACATAAGCCACAGCTTGTCCCTGATGCATTGTATAAGGTTCAACTGATTTATTTCCAAGTAATTTTATGTTCCACAAACAACCAGCAGTGAAGTGACTCTTTAAATTCTCACTGCATTGTAAAATCAGGTATGTATTTCAACTCCATCAAGATAAAAGGACGAGGAGGCTGAGCCCAGTTTTATATTTATGGTCCCCAAAATTGCATTGTATTTTGTGATTTAAAAGGCTTTCTAAAAATGTGCTACAGAAAATGCAAGAGAACCAGTTCAGCTGAGCTCTTCAGGACTTTAGCCCTTCTCATTTGTCATACTTATGAAACATTCTCACTGGCATTAATCTCATGTACATGTGGAACAAACACAGTACAAAACGTTTTACTTCTTTTACAATAAAGAGGTGTATTACATAGATCAAAGAGGGGAAAAAGAACACCGGATAATGACAAAGAGAGACTACAAGGAGGAAAAGAAGAAAAAAAAAAAAAAAAGAGACATTATTTCCAAAGGAAAAGAGAGGAAATGGTAAAGACAAGTTAGGGCAGTCTACCAAATAGCCAAAAGAATGGTTTGGCCATTGCGCAACAGACACCTGTGAGCAAAATGAAGGGATTTCTAGTCTGGGTAATGGTGGAAAAGCCATGAGGGCACATAGAGACGTGGCTATAAGGCCCTACACGGCCCCTGTTTTTCTGCATCTCAAACATGTTTTCAGCTTGTCATTCAGCTTTTCTTGTTTCAACTAATAAAGCTGATGATGATCATTGTGGATGTCTATTCATATAGAATCTTAGATAAGTACATACATTAATATATTAAAGTGAGCTAAAATTTTCTAAGGGCTGGGATATTCTAATATTTCATAAAATATTTAAATCTACTTGTTCTTGATTTTAAGGGATTTACACGGAAATAAAACCACTAGAGCAGAATGGAAAACCAGGCCTATTGAGTTAAAAGTTATTCATGCCAAATTACTTACATTTATGATGACGGCAAGCTTTCCAATACCTCTGAGGATATTATACCAGATTCCTGAGGAAAGAGACAAACATATAAATGCTGTTTCAGTCACTAAACTGTGATAAATTACTTTTTTAGTTAACAGTGTTAGGAGCACTTACGACTGTGCCAAACTAGCGTTATATTTTAAATTAAAAGAAGAACAAATTATAAGAGATTGACAACCTGTAGGCAAAGGGAGCCCAACTCTGTCAATGTTTAGGCACCTATTTTTTGAGGTCTTAAGTTAAAAACTTCTTTGAGGAAGAGGGAGGCAAGTGTAAGATAGAGGAATGCCTGCATAGGTAGAAAAGAAGAACATCAGGAAATTTCATTCACACTTCTCAAATGCCTGGGGAGAAGAAAGTTAGACAGGGAGCTGGAACTTCCGTACACATGGTGCAGAACATACTGATTTAGCAGCTTTAAAGATCTACCTGAATCTGTGTCTACACCTTCTCATCACTCTTGATCCTAGCTCAGTTTTGAGAAAGCAAAGCTCCAGTGGAGCCACTTGATGGGATTTTTCCAGTTGCATCTGGAAATCACACAGGTACAGGTTTCCTCAGCATGGGCTCTGTGCAGACAAAATGTAATACCAACCAACCCTATGCTGAATCAGGTTCAACCCCTCCAGATTTAGCCTGAGGATGATGCATGAAGTCCCCTGGCTCTGACCCATCTCCTTCTGCAGATCCCACTCCTCATGGAAAAGCTTCTTGATGAAGAAATACAGGGCTTCCACAAGATCCCTATGGTTACAGCGCTGATGAGCCACTCTCCTATTCTGGGTCTCAAGAGGAAGAAAGATGTAGGAGGTTTTACACAGGGAGCCATCCCTGGAAGACTCCTCCAGCCTGGCCAAATCGTTTGCTTGAAAACTAACTGGTCTCCTGGCACAGCAGACATAAGCCAGCCTGGACAGAACTGAAGATCAGAAGTACAGAACTGAACTTCAGGAAAAAATACTACAGTACCAGTGGAAGCAGAGATAGATCTGTGTTTGCTGCCAGTGGTTACCCACTGCCTTGAGCCGGTGGGACTTTCTCCTTTTCCTGATTTTTCCTGATTCTGCTGATGCCTGCCCTAAAATCTTGCCTGGTTTGTCTGAGGCCATCTCACAGTCTCTGACTTCAGAGTGTCTCTGAAAGAAGTGGGGTTCTTTCACCCACAAGATCAGGATTGAATTTCAACAAATTGCAATTAACACCCTCTCAAAACCAAAAGAAAAACCTCAAAACCCCCACCACAACCATAAAACCAATAACACTCTGCCTAACATCTCCACCAGCAACCTTCAGCTGTGTTCTCCAGCTCTACGATGATCTGAGGGCACAGGGATGAGCCCAGAGAAAATCTCTGCTTGCACAACACCAGAATAAACACTGAGTTTGGTAACAGATCGTGAACTCCACTGCTCTGGCTGAGTGGTTCTGTAACATGAACAATTACTTTAATGACCTTTTTAATCATAAGTAACCAATGCTTGGGAGAAATAGGTTCCTCATTACACACACCCATAGCTTTTACCCCCCATAGTAGGGGGAGGACTGGCCTGGTGTCGCCATACTGCTGCAGAGCCCAGTGCCACCTAAATTCACTGCAGCTTTCAGCTTAACCCTTCAAACATTAATGCTGTGTAGGTTTGAAGGGATACATTTACCCACAGACTTCTGAGTCTTCTCTCATTCCCAAGGGTATTTCTCCAGGCTAACTCCAGAAATATTAAATGCAGGAATTTTTACTGCATTGCCAGGAAGGATTGTTGATGTGCAGAGCTAAGTGAGATATTTCACATATTGATCATTTTGATTTGAAAAATGATATTGTTTACTTAATAAAATATTCAAGCTCTGATGTTTCTATTTTAAAAGTAAATCCTTGATAAGTTATGACAGTTCACAGTTAAAGTGCAGGCTAATGTTTTGAATTTTCCTATAAATATCTTCCTCTTAATGAAACTAACTCAGCATAATAATATCCTGCCATCCATCCAGGAATAAACAAACAGGGATAACAATAGCAATGTGCACTTACCTATATCCTTTGCTCTGACTGCTACCGGTCTCCTCAGCTCAGTAACAAACTTTTTTGCATCTAGACGGATTTCAATTATGTTGTTCAACAAAGCAAACAAAGGTGCCAACGGGAAGGATGCAACAAACAAAGTCACAAACCCAAACTGAATAACTAGAAAGAAAAAGAAACCATTTCATCAGCTGTGTTCAGTATTTATCAAATTGCATCATCCCATCAGTGCCATCCCATTAAATTCCAACAAGATGACATGTGCTGTGAAACTAAGTTCCATTTTTGGCATCAGGCAGGGTTTCCCTGACTGCTGTTTCATTTGGGCACCAAAGGGCCAGTTGCCCCTCTTACAAAAGGCAAGACAAAGTAATCAGAATCATAGAATCACTGAATCACAGAATCCACCAGGAAAAGACCTCCAAGATCAAGTCCAACTGTTCCCCAGCACTGCCAAGGCCACCCTTAAACCATGGCACTGAGGGTCTCATCTGCACAGTTTGTGAACATCTCCAGGGACAGTGACTCCACCACTGCCCTGCGCAGCCTGTTCCAACGCCTAAATACCCTCTCTGGGAAGAAATCGTTCCTAATCTCCAGTCTAAACCTCCCCTGGCACAGTTTGAGGCCATTTCCTCTTGTCCTGTCACTTGTTGCCTGGGAGCAGAGACCAGCCCTCTCCTGGCTCCATCCTCTTTTCAGGCAGTTGTAGAGAGTGATAAGGTCGTGTGTGTCCTGTCGTATCCCGTCCCCCCCTGCCTGAGCCTTTTCTTCTATAGACTGAGCCCCTGCCAGGTGCTTCCTCCATTCCCCATCATAATTGTGCTCCAGGTCCTTCACCAGCTCCATTGCCCTTCTCTGGACCTGCTCCAGCACCTCAATATCATGGATAAAGAGACTCCTGAACTAAATTTGCTATCAGTGAGACTGGCACAGGAGTGATCTGAAGGAGTGGGAATATGGCAGCAACTGTGTGAGCTCTGTATAAATGTGCCATGCTCCACCCAGCAGCTTTTTAGCACTCATTATTCCCACTGGAAGCTTCACCTTCTGAAGTATAGAAACTTACAGGCTTCAAAAGGGACGTGACTGATCTCTGCCTTTATTGGGAATAATTTGCTTCCTACAACCTGAGGTCATACTTGCTTTTGTCTGATGAGGACATGGCAGTGATTGTCATACTCACCCTGGTACTGTCACTGCTCCACCCTTCTCTTCCTCTGTTACTTCCAAATGCTGATCTCAGTAGATGCATCTTTTCATATTTTTAGGAACTGACAGCATGACCTTGTAGCTTGTACTGTTAAATTTCAGTCTGTTTCCCCTACTCTGAACATCAAGGTCATCAGCTATTCTAATTTGCCTCTGCATTTACTGGGAATGCAAATTTTTGGTGTTATTTTACTTCATTACCCTTCACCACTATTTTGCCTAGTCATTCCTTAAAATACTAAATAAAGTTGCTCTTTTAAGAAAGACCCTTCAGGAATGCTGGATACTGTAGCAAACAGCATTATAGAATCATAGAATCACAGAATCAACTAGGTTGGAAATGATCTTTAAGATCTCTAAACCATGTCATTAAGGGCATTATGTTGAACAGTTCTCAGCCTTTCCAAGATTAAAAGTAGGAAAAGAAATAGAGTTGTATAGCAACACAGAGCTGACATCCAGTGCTTAAATTTCATTATCACTCACTCAACACGTTATTTTAAAAATCCCAATTGTATGTGATAAGTACAGCCTCATCTACAGGCACTTATCTCTAAGAAGGTTTAGTCCAGATTTCATTAAAAAGAAACAACCTTGTGTGAGAATATGCAGTGAAAATTATCAATCTGAATTAAGTAACTTATTTCCAATGCAGTGTGCAACTGATGAGAAAGTGACGATCTCAAATTTATGCCATTTAATCATTTGCATTTGAAACTTGACGGTGATATGTCACATGGCTTGAGAGAAAGTATCTAAACAGGGGAAGTTCAGGTTAGACCTTAGGCAGAAGTTCTTCCCTGTGAGGGTTCTTAGGCGCTGGCACAGGTTGCCAATAGAAGCTGTGGCTGTCCCATCCCTGGCAGTGTTCAAGGCCAGCAATCTGGTCTAGCAGAAGGTGTCCCAGCCCATGGCAGGGGGTTGAAATTGGATGAGATCTGAGGTCCCTTCCAACCCAAACCAGTCTGTGATTCTGTGACAATATGCTGCCAAATTCATCCATGAAGTAGCCAGTGGTTGGCTTAAACATGCTACAGTCCGAGACTATATACTTCAATAATTAAGTTATGCCTCATATCTACTGTCCACTTTATCTACAGTTCAAAAACCTCAGCTCTCCATCCCAGTTTGTCAGAATAATTGTCGTTTAAAATGCCTTCTCCTCATCCCACTCACTCATTTCCATATACTCAGGGGTAAGTCCAGCAAAAGGCTCCAGGTTATAGTCCACTTCATAGCGCTGCTTTTTTTTCATGTGCTCTTCATGGTCTAAAGAATGCCGATGCTTTAACTTCATGTAGCGCATAAATTTCTTCATTTTTCTGGGGGAAAAGGGAAGGATTCCATTAGCATGCCCTTAGGGGAACAGTGCCTATTTTGCAGCTGTTTTACATTAGTAGACGTAATGAGCTTCATACCTATTTTCATAAACACTGTGCAAGAGTGAAGTACAAGTGAAGGGGCAGTGAAAACACCATGTATTTTACATGTCCTAAAAACCATGCGTTTAATAAAACCCCAACAAGAAACAAGCAAAAATTGCTACTTACGGGATGCCAATCTCAAATAAATTGTTTTGGATCAGCTGCTTGCCCAACATGATGATACTGAGCTGGATACACAACTCCATTAGGCAACCTCCTGGAGCACACTAGGGTGGACAGAAGAAACAACAGTTAGAACATCTGCTGCATCCCTGTGGCAGAAGCAGATGGTGCTCACAACCAACAAGATCACAGACAGAGGGAAAGTGAAATTACCTCTTCCATTCGGAAGGAGTGGAAAATGTAGACATAATCTCCTGGACGTCCAACAAATCTAGGGTACAATGGTTAGAATTATAAATTTGCTATGGATTTTATACTTTTTATATGCGATTCCTAAAGTCAAACTCTATGCCTTTGAATGGGACCCCCTAGTGTTTAGTCCTGAAAAGATGTATGACATTATCTTTAGTTTTGTTTTAAAGAGCAAGTCCTGTTTACTGAGTAAACTACTCGGAAAAACTGCAAGTGTTGTGCCCTACAACATTCCAGGTAGAAATCCTCTGAGGTAATCCTCATTACTGTTGCATTAGCTGGAACGTGCCACATGGATACTTTATTTTAGCCTTATGTTTTCCTGTTGGTTGTAAGAAGGGAGATGATACTTGCTATGATATTAAGTTAGGAGTGATAAATAGAGAACAGTTCATAGTCTGGTGGGGGATTGTGGCTGAATGCATAGATTTATTAGTACAGGAAAAATATGGACCTGTTGGAGAGGGTCCAGAGATGGGCCAAAAAGTGATCAGAGGGATGGAGCACCTCTGCTATGAGGAAAGGCTGAGAGAGATTGGCTTGAAGAAGAGAAGACTCCAGGGACACCTTATTGTGGCCTTTCAGTTCCTAAAAGGAGCCTATAAGAAAGATGGGGAGAGACTTTTTAGCAGGATTGTTGTGACAGGATGAGAGGTGGTTTTAAACTAAAAGAGGTGATATTCAGGCTGGATGTGAGGAAGAAATTTTTTACAGTAAGGGTGGTAAAACACTGGCACAGGTTGCCCAGCAAGGTGGTGGATGCACCATCCCCAGACACACTCAAGGCCAAGCTGGATGTGTTTCTGGGCAACCTGATCTAGTTGAAGATGTCTCTGCTTATTGCAGGGGGGTTGGAGTAGATGAGCTTTGAAGTTCCCTTCCAACCCAAACTATTATATGAATCTTTTCTATGATTATCTTAAGAAATGGCTTTAACAAATTTGAAACTGCAGAGTACCAAGTCTGTGTGTTATCCCATGAGGCTGAAGAGGTTTGGGGTCAATAGTGAGGTATGCTTAAGCCAGATTTACTTTACTGTTCTATTATGGTCTTAGCTCAGCAGCAGCTGTCTCATAAGCAACGACTGGAAACCAGGAACAGCACTTAGCATAACTCACCGGCCTTTGAAGAAAGCAACATAGAAGATGGGTGTGTAGGCATTGACGAACTTCAGGAGGAAAGCCTTAAAAATCAGCCGCTCTTCAAAATTCTTGTCAGTTTTTGGCACCTCTGGAACCAAGGTGAAATGTATAAGAAACATTAAGGAATTAATCCTACCTGGAACATTTCAAGATCTTATAAAGGTGGGCTTTGAGCCATCTTTTAAACAAAGGGGTATATATTTGATAGAATTATAAAACAGTTTGAGTTGGAATGGACCTTAAAGCTCCTTGAGTTCCAACCTCCTGCCGCAGGCAGTGACACCTTCCACTAGACCAGGTTGCTCCAAGCCATGTCCAACCTGGCCTTGAACACTGCCAGGGATGTGGCAGCCACAGCTTCTGTGGGCAACCTGTGCCTCACCACCCTTACAGGGAAGAACTTCTTCCTTATATCTAACCTGAACTTCCCCTGTTTAAGTTTAAATCCATCACCCCTTGTCCTATCACTACAGTCCCTGATGACGAGTCCCTCTTCAGCATCCTTGTAGACCCCCTTCAGATATTGGAAGGCTGCTCTGAGGTCTCCACACAGCTTCTCTTCTCCATGTCCTGATGTTCAGGACACCAGAACTACACACAGTGCTGCGAATGGGTTCTCACAGGAGCAGAGTAGAGGGGCAGGATCACCTCCTTCAATCTGCTGGTCACACTAAATAATTTGTAGCAATATATATATACACACACATAAATACAATATGGCCACACTGAGTGGTCAATCATGGAATCATAGAATGGTTTGGGTTAGAAAGGACCTTAAAATCATCTAGTTCCAACCCCCTGCCTTCTAAGGATATCACCATTCAGATGCATTACAACAGTAATTCTAATTTCATTCCACATTTGGCTGAACTCTATGACAATCATTTGCAGATGGACAAGCATTTACCTGAAAAAGTTTCTGGCCCTTTTGTCACTGATGCTTGTTGGATATTATTCAGAATTTTTTTCCTACTGTGTGTGGGTTTTTTGCACCATACAATTTTGCCTTTCACAACATGTTTTATGCCAATTAAAAAATGGCAGAAAATTTAAAGAACAATTGTGTGATAGAGAAGAGGGAAGCTCAATATTAGATATAGGGATTTCTTCTGCTACCTGTAACTGGATTAGCATTACCACTGCTGAAAAAAAACCTTGACAAATGAAGTCAAATCCATGTGATTTTTGCTATTTGTAAGTAGCTGATTAGAATTTTAGCCCCACATTTGAATTTCCTGGGTTTGCTCACCACTTTGACATGCATCATTTGTCATTTGGGTCCTCTTTCTCAAACAAACATCAGTTGAGGATTTAAACCTACCAATCTGAGTGAGCCACCTTGCGATGCAGCCATATACTTCATCCAGGATGATGATGACAACCAAGTTGATAATGACAGCAGTGGCAGTGACGGTGACCCGAACACTGGAGCGGCCCGAGGGAGTTGAACTGATTGCCAGTGCTGCTGCAGTCGAGATCCTATATATGATGACTCCAAACACGATAGCGAACGTCAGCCCTACCTACAAGTAAGAACAGCATAGCCTCTTATGAAAGATTTAACTATAAATACTTTGCTTGGAACTTAGTGGTGACCTTAAAAATGGGGTCCCTGGGCCAAGTCCCCCAGTTCTGCATGAAGACTCCCAGTCACTTTGATGAACTGTGGGAAAATATCCTCTTTTGCTAGAAATTTGATCATCACATGGAAAAAATGATACAAGGATGACATAATCACATGCAAAGGGATATTTTTTATTCTTTTTTCCCAAAAAAGCCCTAAATGTAAACTGCTTTGAATCAGAATCACAGAGTGGTTTGGGTTGGAAGGGACCTTAAAGCTTATCCAGTTCCAACCCCCTACCATGGGCAGGGACACCTTCCACTAGACCAGGGACCAGGTTGCTTCAAGCCCTGTCAAACCTGACCTTGAACACTGCCAGGGATGCAGTTTACAACTTCCTTGGGCAACCTATACTTGCTGATATTAAAAGTATTAGTGGGCTTCCTTTCAGCCCTAATGGCAACAGCATAGATCCACTGGATTTGCTTAATTATAAAATCAAGCCAGCATTGAAGCAGAGAGGAGTATTTCAGCTTAAGTCTGCACATAAGCCTTCAAATACCTTACTCAAACTCTCTATGCTGTCATAATCCCAAACTGAAATTCAATCTGATAAATCAACACACTTCTTGGCAATGTAAAGGTGTACAAAATCTTACTCAACTTTTTTTGCTTAAATAGATGAATAATTTTAAAATGTGATTCTTATAAAGTCCAAATTCTTCAACTGGGATTATCAGATTTACTGCAGTTCCATTCTCTGAAAATACAATTACAAAAAACTAAGCCAATCCCAAAAAAAATTAAATTAACTGAGCTGGTCTGGAATAGTCTACCTTTAGAAAGGGCTTAAGCTTTTCTATGCAACAGCTAATGTGTTCTATGTCTTTAATTATTATTTCTTAAAAATTTGTTTTAAATGCTGATGCTTTATCAGCAAATGGAGGAAGGCTCTTCTCATCCTTCTTGCACCTTTTTCCCTCAGTGCTGTCTTTGCAATCCTGCTGTTTGTGATATGGTATAACTACAAATTTGTCCGATTCATTAAAGATTCTTGCAATCAGGACTGCAATTGGCAACATCAAGTTTTGCTTCTGTGACCCCATTTTTCATAGAATCCCAGACTGGTTTGCATTGGAAGAGACCTTAAAGCTCATCCAGTTCCAACCCCCTGCCACAGGCAGGGACACCTTCCACTAGACCAGGTTGCTCCAAGCCCCGTCCAACCTGGCCTTGAACACTGCCAGGGATGGGGCAGCCACAGCTTCTCTGGGCAACCTGTGCCAGCACCTCAGCACCCTCACAGGGAAGAACTTCTGCCTCAGATCTCATTTGAATCTCCCCTGTCAAGATAAACCCATTCTCCCTTGTCCTGTCCCTACAGGCCCTTGTCAAAAGCTCCTCTCCAGCTTTCTTGTAGACTCCTTTTAGCTACTGGAAAACTGCTATAAATGTCTCCCTGGAGACATTTTTCCCCTACCCTATTTAGGTATTCTTATTTCTTTACTGGAAAGAGATGGAAAAGTATGAATACCAACTCTTGAAAAGACTTTTAGATTATAAAACAGTAAAACGGTTGAATTTTTTTCTCTGAGGAAAAGCCATCGAGAGCCACATTAGTCTCAAAGTCTGTCACGGTTTCCATCTCTTCTGTTCTATACAATGAGTCAGTAACGAAAATTACAGATTTTACTGGGTGATGCTTACCATGAAGATAATGCCAACAAAATTGGTTAAATAGGCTGGAAAACGATCCTTCCATGTCAGCTTTTCTTTATCTGTCTAAAATGGGGGGGGGAAAGGGTATGTTTAATAAAGACAAAATGTGATTTTGCACACATGACAAAACAGAGAGGGGGAAGAACAGGCTGGCAAATACACAATCAGTTAGAAGATGTAGACACAGTGTTTACAGTTACAATTCCACGCAGGCAAATTGTTTACCCTGTATCTAGGTTCAAATTGGCCAAAAGCCTGCCCCAGTAGTATAAATAAACCAGATTTTTCTGTATACTTTTTGAGGGAAACATAGAAACAGGCTGTCAGAAACCATGAAGTAAGGTTTCTCTTACTGTTAAATATTTTATTTTCCCTTCCCTAGAAAAATCCTCCTTCTTCCTCTCTCACTCCACAGTTAATATTTGCAGCTTTGCAGTTGCACAACTGGTTCTGCTGAAATATGGAATCATAGAATCCCAGACTGGTTTGGGTTGGAAGGGACCCTAAAGCTCATCCAGTTCCAACTCCCTGCCATGGGCAGGGACACCTTCCACTAGACCAGGTTGCTCCAAGCCCCGTCCAACCTGGCCTTGAACACTGCCAGGGATGGGGCAGCCACAGCCCCTCTGGGCAAAGACTAACTGCTGCTGAATAACTTCAAGATGAAAACACAGTTGGCAGGGAAGACCTTGTTTTGGTATGAGGTAATTCGCTCAATAAGAGTGATTTTTAACTACCTGACTATCCACATGGGATTCAATGGACCATGCCAATAGCATTAAGATGCACACATATAATAACTCTTTATAGGATACCCTAAATATGGTCAACCAGCCACTGCCTTAACTGGCTATGAAAGTGTGATTTACAACAGTACTGGTCATCTAGAGTCTTCCATAAACTTTGATGCCAGGAATTGCTTCTAAACACCAGAAAATAAGCAGGAAGGAAGCTGATGCACACTTTACAATGAACATCAAAATATTACTCCAATCCTACTTTTATTACATGCACATTGTCTCAGGAAAGTGCAAGCAACTCTTCCAACACACAGCCCATGCTCAACTGCAATATGTAATGTCAGTCCAGGATGTAAATCTAAGATTAGCCATGCAGTGCCATTCCCAGTGCATAGAAACAGCGTCCCAGAGAGTGAAGAATAAACAAGGAAAGGGAGGGGAAGAAACCAAGAACTGAATGTGAATATTAAACAAGGTTTAACAGCCAAAACCAAATTGATTTGTGTCTTCCATAATTACTCATAAATTGAGTTTCTTCATAAGTTTGAATTAAAAGAACCATTTTCACCCCAGCCATGACTGTCTTAACTCTTTGTGTCCATTTGTTTGCTGTCTCTTCTGGAAAATATCGGTGCTTCTGATGGCAGCCAAAGGGAACAAAAACAGGGTTGGGCAATATAGCATTACGAAGCACTGCTAAATTGATCTCCATAGTCTCTACTGACTCGGCATACATAGCAGTTTAGCCACAAGTGAATGTTCTATTAGTTTGTTTAAGGCTCTGTGTTTCAGCTTTCAGTTAATAAAACACCACCACCAAAAGACAAACCTGCGCCCCAACTCCTAGGGTAGATGAAGCGATACTGCAAAGAATATCCCCTTTTTAATTTAGGATTGTGCCCTTCTTTTACCCTGAAGATATAAAAAGAATGTCCAAAGATTTTTTTTTTTTTTTCCCTTTAATTGGACTTCTCTTGAAAAATATAAGCAGTTTTTTGCTTAGCTTTAGATATTTCTCTTTAAGATTTCCATGTTGTCTTACAGCCTTTGGATTTGAACTTTAACACTCTAGATCCCAATGCAAGATAATTACCAAGTCTTTCAGAAAAAAACCTTTCTCATGTTTCCCAAATTAGTAACATCCACATTGAACACAGCCCAAAAAGCTATAAATAGTCTGGTTAAAGGGAAAAAAAAAAAAAAAGGAGAAAATCCTCTTTTAATTGCTCATCTTTCATATTCCACTATGTGGAGGCCACCATTTTGTCTGATTATCCTACAGCCGTCCACATCTAAGTTCTGAATTGTTAATACACCCAAAAGTACAGTGAGTCACAGGGTTTTAGTGGACATATCTGTATTTAAATATGGCTTAGCCAGCAGATAAGAGGGCAGCAACCCTAATTCCTTCCCTTCTGCAAGAAATTTTAAAACAGTGGTGCAAGTAAGGCATCCTATAGATCAACAGAATCATTCCACCATCAGCTTTGTAGATTTTCCTAAGAGAGGCACAACTGTACTCAAGTACCATGACAAAGAACCATGCACATTTAGTTTAACGCCAGTCCAACCTATATATTCTGTCTTTAAAAGTGTGTTTCATGTTAATGTGGTTATTGCAGTTGTATTTTCATGGGTTTTTCATAAAAATCCCAGTTTAGGATATGATTCCATGCTGCTGTGCCACTTCCAACAGATACAAAAGAGTAATTTCTGCCAGCAGATTTTCTTTATTGCTGGAGCTTTTACTTCTCTTCTTCAAAACATGGTCATACAAATGGCTGAATTTGTGCAGTGAAGGGGGAATAACCTCTGGTAAGGTGGAAACCAGGATGTGGGGAGAAAAGGAGCTTTTCCACATGGGTGAGCTGCTGACAGATAGTAAGAGGGAAGAAATTACAGCCTCAGTGAAAGCTGCTTATAGGGACTATGCTGTCTGTTGATGAGATGCAAGTGCTCCTGAGGTGACCAGCAGCACCTTTTCCACAGTAAAGACCAAGTTAAAAGCATAAAGTGAGCAATACCTTATTCAGTGGGGATAAAATGGAAGTAACGTTTTGTAAAAGGAAGAAAGCTATTATTATCAAAGCTGGAATTTGGCAAGGAAATTGGTGTTTATACTCTTTATAAATGCTCTAGTAATGTTTTATTTACAACCAAAGTCTAGCAAGACAGAGAACTTTCCCTCAGAGGCTTTAGCTACTGAGACCAGCACAGAATATGTTTTGTTACAGGTTTCTCAAACTTGATTCATTAGCCGAAAAGGAGCACCCCTTCAATCAGGCTCAGTTAGTTTCCCTAAGCCATAATCTTGTATTTTTGTAAGTACTGAAGCCGTTCTAGACTTGTCAGGTCTGATCAGGTTTTGTCCACTGGTGTACATCAAGTATCCCATGTATGCTGGGACCAAAGACATCTGGAACTTAAAAACAGTGTGCAGTGGCTCCGATCGTTACCTATTTCTTAGTCTTGGGTCAGTGCCTATAAAGGAACTGCTTCTTTTTCAGTCTTTTCTAAGTGAAACAGATGAATGTTTTTACCATACCTCTTTATGTTTGTGTTCTTTTCTCAGTGATTTTTCTAAAACTTTAGCTTCATACTCCGCTCTTGGATGATCCTGTGAAATAAGTCATATTTAATAAAAAGCAAAACTTCTTTTTATAGCAGATAGATATGAACTGTTTGGCAAGTCAATTTTTTGGTGATTTTCAAGTTTTCTAACTAAATTCCAATTTGCTCAGTATGCCATTCACAGCTCTAGAGCAGCAACTACAGAATGATCTGGACTCACTACCACACACCTAGTTGCAATGCTATGGAGATTAAATTTAATACCTGAGAGTATAGAGCACAACCTGCAGATATCATGGTTCATACCGAGTAACATTATGATTGGATTTTAATACTTTTTTTTTTTATATAAATTAGAGTTTGCATGTCATTGACTGTAATTTCAGTGAGGGGAACAGTTATCTGCTGTAAGTATATAAATACTGGGCTTTGGGATCTCAGAAAATTGTCCATTTGGGGTCTTTGCCTAATCTGGTCTGGGACAGCATCCACAGATTACCCAGGGCGTTGAAGTAGAGGATGTAGGAAGCACTCAGAAGTAAGAGTCAGCCAAAAGATTCAGAAAGATTCACAGATTCAGAATTCAGGATAATTTTGCATTTACAAAAGACTCAGAGTTCACAAGTATGCATTGGATGGGAAACAGAATGGAGTTGAAAAAAGTCTGAACAAGTGGAGAAGGGGAGGGTATAAAGGCAAAGAGACCAGTGGGAGGTCTAAAGAAAATCTGATGCTCGAAAAAGGTGAAGATCAAAAGTTGCATTCATCAGTGGACATGTAATAAAAAAGGCAAGAGCAATTAAAAAAAAATGTTTTCCAAACCTTGACTGCCTCCTTCAGGAAACCAGAAAAAAACATGAAAAACAAGGGAAAAAAAAAAAACACAACAAAAAAAAGAAAGAAACAAAAATTTGATTACAGAATGTTGCAGATCATATTGGACTTATATTTTAAAAATACATGAAACAAGCATAGGTACAGTGGATGGCTAGACACTACCAAAAAAGTACCAGTTTACTCCTGTTCTATACCATTTAATAATATTACTGTAAGTATTGCATAGAATCCCAGACTGGTTTGTGTTGGAAGGGATCTTACAGCTCATCCAGTCCCAACCCTCTGCCACTAGGCAGGGACACCTTCCACTAGACCAGGTTGCTCCAAGCCCTGGCCAACCTGGCCTTGAACACTGCCAGGGATGGGGCAGCCTCAGCTTCTCTGGCCAACCTGTGCCAGCGCCTCAGCACCCTCACAGGAAACAATTTCTGCCTAAAATCTCATCTCAATCTCCCATCTGAAAAAAGCCATTCCCCCTTGTCCGGTCCCTACAGGCCCTTGTAAAATTATAAACTAGGTGTCCCTAAAAACACCAGAAGATGAGACATTGGGATTTTGCCTATCCTTTGAAACCCCGATTCTTCAACCTATTACTAGCTAAAGTATCACCCAAATCAGCATAGCAGGCGCTTAAATTAATTGCCAAATCAATGACTTTATTATCTAGCATTGACTACACAAAATAAAGAATAAAATATACTGTATTAACAGCTGCTGATTTTGTGGTGTAGAGCTCTGAACTCAGACATGAAGGGAACAGACATCAGAAAGATACAGTTAATCCTTTCATGTATGCTAACAACAAGTTACCAAAAATAAGAGAGCAGTATAGTATCCAGGAAGTAAATCCCTGTAGGCTCTCCCAGGAAAATAGGTATAATCTAGCTAAGCATGCCTAAATATATTATGAAGGAGATAAATATATTAAGAGGAAATAATTCAAGAAGAAAAATTCTGGGGGTGAGAGGAACAAGAACTGTGCCAGGCTTTTCAAGTTGCACAGTGTTAAACCCAGAGCTCGTGAGGTTTCTAGTTTCACGTGAGCAATATTTGTTGTGTTATCTATTTAGAACATCTAGAGATATGACAAGGGCAGTCATACTTCTTTTAATAATAACAACAGTAAGAAAAGAGCCAGCAGCCAGTCAACAACACGACAGGAAAATGGAAGGGTTTCTACCACCTCTTGAGTGCAGTAAGTCCAGGGCAAGGCTAACCTATAGTCCAGGAAAGTGTCTCCCTCTTTGTAAAGTGATAACGTTAAAAACGAAAAGGTGGGATACAGCTTCTCAGCTAAGGATTTTCCCTTCTTTTCTTCTAAAACTTCACTGATCTTTAAGAACTTTTTTTCCTCACAGATTCAGCCTTTTCCCCTTAATTCTATTCAGTACATGTAGTATAAACCTGGCTAGGGATATTATTATTTTTGTTTTAGCCAACACAAAAAATCCATCACCTCTGCATTGTATTCCTCCCATTGCCCCAAGCCCACATATCTGGAAATATTTTCTTAGGTATTTTCCAAGTCAGGGCTTGATCCTACATCATTAACAGGAATTTTTCAGTGCTGTTTTTCTTTTACAGTGCTGTAACTTTACCAGCTTCGGAATGTTCATTTCTGATTTACAGCAGTGTGAGCTGAATGAGGTCCTTAACTGTTAGCACCCTGACATCAGCAGAGCAGTAAGGTCTGAGCTGTATATTCCATGCCTACACTGCTAGGCGTGACCCAACTACACACTTTAGGATTGGATTTTGTGGCTATATAATTATATTTCTATGGCTACAAGATGTAGTAGTCATACCCTTGCTATAAAAACCTCAAATAGTTCATGTACAGAGAATTTCCTTTCTTCTAAGTGACTCAACGGCCCCAAGAGCTGTTCCCCATGAGGCAATGTCTATCAGCTCAGGGCAAGGAGCTATGGGTAACGCCAGAGTGGAAGTCAAAGAGCCAGAACTGAAGGGACAAACCTCCTCCTCTTCAAACCCAGTCAGGTCCCACCTGTAGTTGAGACGCATCTGTTTTCTCTTCCAGTGTTCCATAAAGGTGGCAGCTGAAACAACAGTTTAACAATTAGTTTGACGTTTTTACCACTGGGATTTGTCTTGAGAGGCACGCCAGCCACGCTCCACATTGCCTCAGGTCTGAGGAGGTGCAATACTGTGTCATGTCCCACAGGTTATCTTAATTTTTATTACTGTTTTATTCACCATTAATATCTTCTACCTAGGAAACACTGGTATGCTAGAAGCCAAACTTTGTATCTAGGTAAGCTAAAAGAAAGGGCATTTATTACATCCACAGCTTTACGTAGAAAGATGCCTACAACATTTCAGAGGTCTAAGAAATCCAAACTTAATGAAATATTTGTTGGTGTGACTAATGATATTGTTGGTCTTCATCTGCATATAACTCCATCCATAAGTCCAAACAAACCTGTGTTTTATCTCTATGAAATATGAATTATAACTCCATCCATAAGTCCAAACAAACCTGTGTTTTATCTCTATGAAATATGAATTATATAACTATCCTTGTATTGGTGGTACAGTTACTCCCTCAAAGACATCAAGATAAAGCATTTTGATATTGTTATAATTACATCCGTCTTCATAGCATGGTTATCTCTAGGTCATCACACCCAAACCCATATACTAATGACAGTGTGAAAGCTGCACATGGACAGGCTACTAAAGAGGAATGCTTTAAGGGTTTTTATCATTAAGACACTGTAATTTTCTTTTTGATGGAGAAGACTTACAGACAAGAAACCTCATTCAAGCAATTCTTGAGTCCAAGTGAATGATTGAGGTCTGTATCAGTCTATCTGCCTCTGAGACTAAGCAAATTTTCAGAGGACACATTTAGATGCTGGGAATACAAAACTGCTGTATAATAAGTGATTATGGAAGAGACAAGTCTACCAAGAAATGGTGTTCCCAGAGTTTCCTGCAGTGCGTATTAACAGATGTGCTCAGAAACGTTCATATCCAGAAAAAAAACAGAGGCAGGGAGAGGGTAAGAAAGTTGAATAGAGAGGAAAGGACACCCTCATGACTGGAACCAGGCGAGGGTCATGACATTCATTTTGCTTTCCAAGCAAAATTCTCTGTGCAAAACTTACAACTGAGCCTCTTTACAAATGACTGGCTTCCTATAAACTGAGACGGCCCTAGCGGTGTCTTAAGAGGGTCTGTGTCATTGTCCTGGAATTGCCTTCCCTCTCCCCACCACTGGCAATTCTCACACTGGGGTCTGCAACTTCAGCAGACAGTGGAAAGAGGGAAAATGAAGATGCTGTTTCTTAGTGCTACTCAAAATCCTTCTGTAGCACTTGACTTATACCAATGCAAAATGAAAAGTCTGCATCTGAAACCCAGCCAGCCCATTCCAAAAGTTCCCAGTGAACATGCCAGGTAGTGATGCCACTTTGCCAAGTCCACCTGCATCATCACATTCCATCTGGGCCCATAAGCATAAGTAGAACTTAAAAATTCCCCATGGTTACTGTCCAGATGATCTTACCCGGATTCTCTGACATTTTTAATGCTGTTTAATACTGAACAGCACTGGGCCACAGTCCATGTTTAATGCTGAACTTCTGACCGGGGCTCAGTTCGCTGCTATAGCTGTTTTAATGCTCGTGTGAGTGAAGTTTTCCAGGGTGTTACAATACCACCATGATACAAAGAAAGCCTGGCCAAATGTTTGCTCACAATCATACCACTGAACGTGTGCTCATTTTCTTGCTATGCTAAGGAGGAAACCCAAGTAACCTCCTCTTCCTCAACTCTGCGACTGCACACGAACCTAATGAAACTTCTCTTTACGGGCAGAGGTGCTCACAAACAGCACCAGAGACTCCATGTGTGCCTATGTTTAGAAACAGATAGTTTTGATTGAGACTACTTCCTTAGAACATAAAGTGCTTATTTCATTTTTATTTATAAACCATTTAGACAAATCCTTTAGACAGGAAATTTCTAACTAACCCAATTCAGAACTATGTGGACAAAGTCCTGAATTCAAAATGACCTCTTTGAAACAACATTTGAGTTTATATGGTATTGTACCACAATAAAATTTTATGTTGACCCTGAAAACCTTGAGGGATTTCACATCCCACTCCTAAGCTCTCTCAGATATTAAGCCTGCTTCTGTATAGAGCACAGAAACTGGCTTCTGCCAATGTGCCTTACTTTGCCCAAGAATGTAAAAATAAGGATGGATGGACCCCTAGTTGTTTGCTAAGGAAAGGGAGGGAAACGGCATTACTTTTTTAACAACAGTATTATATGCCAAGAGTCATGTGGATTTCACTTTAATGGTAAATAAGGGAGACAAAAACCGATACTTGACTCTCTATGTGGGAGAATCAGACTATTTAAAGTCTCTGACGCTGCATTCTGCTTTGGGATGTATCGCATTTCTTCCTGTATGCAACATGGCAAGATGATGATCTGTAAGATAGTGATCCCTCCTCTCTTCTGTGAAGCTAGTTGAGTTCAACTTCCCAGCACCACTTCCCTGCTTTCCCTCTGAACCTGCCATGCTCCAACTCCCCAGTGTTCTTAAAATCCCTCTGCAGGACTCTCCTTGTTCTGTTACGGTACTTGATAATGCTGTTAGCACTGCATCATTACGTCATTATCTCAAATGGAGACCTTGATCAAAATTATGTTGAATGGTACTAAAATCAGTTCAGAGGAATGGTTACGTAAGAATGGTTCCCTACATACTAGAACAAATAAAAACTTAGGCTATAGTTTTCAGGTTAAATATAAGCCAAAACTGGTTATTTGCTAACTCTGTACAGGAAGGGCAAACATCATCTTGTGCTGCTTTCCCTGTCTCTGGGAATATGTGGCCAAAGTGCAAAACTGCTGGAAACAACACACATTTTTCTGTTCTCTGAAGCCTCTATAGGGCTGCCAGTTACAAACACAAGTTTTGAACCCCATCAGTTTCCATTTATCTAGCAGGCCCTCTTGGTCCCCAGCGAAGATGACTGGAGGCTCCTCTCCTCCAAGCACCCATGCTGGAGGAACCATGCACCCCATGGGGATCTCCTTGGGGGAGGAGAAGGGAGGAGAAAAGCCCTCAATAACCATTACTGAAGACAAATATTTCATGAGAGGGTTAATATTTTTAACCAAGTTTGACGGACATGCCAAAAAAGATTAAAGTGATGTGCTCAAAGGGCAGACAGCATCCAGAAAAATACCTCTAATGCCACCATTCTTGCTTCATAGTCTACATGCATGATGTCTGCCTGCTTAATTGCATCTCAGAACAGACTCAGGAATCAATGCTGGTTTCTCCTGAGACACCGAAGGCCATTACACTTCCCTGTGGAGCCCTCCCCTCAGCCCCAGAGTACATTAATCTATTTCTTCTGTAATGGCCTAAAGTGGAAGCTGGCTCTGCAAATAGGTTTGGGTTATTTATTTACATATTTATGTTTTGGCAATCTGTGCAGTCCCGTTAATGAAATTTTGACCTACCACACAGCAGTTTTATGACAGATGCTTAACAGTTTCATTTGACATTCATCTTGAGCAACTTTGTGAATTTTAGCTTTCAGTCGAGAATATAAATTTGGGTGTGACAGTTTCATGGGGGAAAAAAGAATGGAAAGAAAAAAAAAAGGAAACACAAAAAAAATATAAGTTATTCATATAATTAACTGCCTGAGTATAAATAAACTGCTTTATCTCTTCTGTTTCTTCCTGTTGTATTTTAAAAAATTAAAAACTTAACATGAAGGCATGTGTCTTCTTACCCCAGAGAGCCATGAAGACTGAGAAGAAGACAGTTGCAGGGTTATCAAACAGATGACTTGCACGAGCAGTCGCACAAGCAGAGCTCATCTTCCAGTAACTGCATGTTCTGTCACACAAGGGACACATGGTGATGTTGTTTCTCTGGTCACACATTTCCATACTGCAAAGAAGAAACAAGACAGAGAAAAAAGCATGGTCATTTTGGCTCCATCTTCCATGTCCCACTGATCTTTCTTCCTTTTGCACAGTATCTGCTGCTGGTTTGTAGGCCCAGCAGATCCTACTCTCCCAGTGCTTCCCAGCTCTTGCTCCAGCGAGTGGCTCTGCCCACAACCTAGCCCATTGTAGGGGCTGAAATCCTCACAAGGCTGCTGTCTTCCTCCATCCCCAGCCCTACTTGTTTTCCAGGGAATAGGAGAGATGCAGTATGAGATGCATAAGGCTCCATGCTATTTACTATGGGATCTTACAGTAAAAAAAAAAAACAAAACACATCATTCTGGTTTTGAAATACTAACTACAGCAGTAGGTAAGGGACAAGGGAAGTGCTGAGGATCAAGAGTCTGGAGTTCAACCAACTTCTCTTCTATGCGTTCCATCTGTGAAACAGTAACAGCAACCCTCCCTTTGACTTTCTTCAGCTGCTGGAAGCAGTACAAAACAATCTTAGTGAACAAAAAAAAAACGTCTATTTTTTGATATCCATTATCTGCTTTGTCACTCAGGGCTTATGGTTGCAGTACAAACTGCATAATTTTCATCTTCAGCTGATGATACAGGCAAGGCAAATAATGCTAAATTATAGGGCTTTAAGAACATTATAATACAAAACTTACTAAAATGAAAAATAGTACAATGTCAAGATTTTGTTAACCTGATCACAGCGGCTTATTTAAGGCATGTATAATCTTGATTCATCTTTATGTCACACAATGCTTTCTGCAGCATTTTATGATGACAAGCACTAAACCCTACCATTAGCAGTATTTTGTGGTTTGTTTTAACATAATGATCTGAGTTAGGGAAAAAAAATAACAACCACCTGAGCAACTGGCCAAGAATTATTTTTAGCACATCAATGCAAATTGCACAAGTCAATTTAACAATAAATGCTAATGATTTAAAACTGTGCTGCAGTTCTGCTGCCTGCTCTCAGCCCTTGGGAGCGCTCCATAGCTTACTGCCAGCAGGAATCAGTGGGACTGTAAACTCACCACGGGCAGGGACACCTTCCACTAGACCAAGTTGCTCCAAGCCCCGTCCAAGCTGGCCTTGACACTTCAGTAACAAAACATTTCTCGAGAAAGGTACCTTTGAGTTTCTAGTGGCCTCTGATAATAGAACTTGTTTATTTCTTTAGTTTACCTAGGTATATTCTCATCCACTGTTGCACAGCCATATAGGAAAACGATAATCCCAACAACTGAAGCTGGAATAAGCATCTGCGTATAAACTCCCAGCCAGGCAAAATATAGTCCAATCTTCTCTCCAAAGTACTTTCTGAAATACATTTTAAAAAGAGAATTGAGAGAGATAAATGTTTTCTATTTCTTAAAATATAACATGGCTAAAATTACAAATTGCAGCTGGATTAAGCATGGACAAAGTTAAGAGCCAGTGACCTGTGGGAATTTTGTCTTCTCAGAGGACTTTCTTTCTCATGATGCTTGGAGTTAATCCAGCAATAGAGGCACCATGAAAGTAAATCAGTCAGACTAGTAGTTTTTTCCCGTGTTTCTGCTGTGTAAATTGGTATCTTTGGATCTTCTGTGAGCAAATCCTCCTAAAAAAGCACCACATTTTCTCCAGAGCCTCAGCTCTCACCATGAGCAGACAAAATTCATTAAAAATATATCCCCTGCAAGCTTTCACACTAGGTCGGATACATCAGTGTGACTCTAAACTCACAGAAAACTCCTTTTCTCCCAGTGAATATCCCATTCTCTGGAATCCCCCAGGGTGACACTGAAGGCAGCATCCCTGTGGGGACACTAATACAAGCATCACCATTCAGAGGTTCAGTGTTCCCCATGGAAACATGACAGGAAGGGCTGAACTCTCACCTCACCAGGTCGATTGGCTGGTACTTGTAAAAAACACCATAGCTCGCCCACTCCTCACACAGGATCTGTGAAACAGAAAGGCAAAAGAGAAAGCTAAAGCACTTGGACATGAACATTTTCTCTTTTGGACCCAGCAAACTGCAGAGCCCAGGCTGTGGATCCGGTCTTACCGCTTTGTGGTTTCAACCCATCATCTGCCAATACACGCAGAGTGCATTAAGTATTAAAAACAAATTTGCTGATTTGGCATGCTGTAATACAGTGAAGAATTCTAGTACATTAAAAGGCTCTTCAGCAACTGGATTGATGGATAACTATAGCAGGGACAGGGAGAGTAGTCCTGATTTTATGATCTGTAGAAGGTATCTAGCAGAATGGATGTGAAAGATGGACATGCTTTGACTTAGAAGACAAAAAAAAAAATTTAGAATGAACTGTTTTGTTTTCACTATACAAGCTATTATATTCATCATCCATGAAGAGGTACTGCGCAGAGGCGCCTCAAAGGCTGCATTTAGGAGGTTTTCAGCTTTAAAACTAACAGAACACAATGATTTCCACTTATCCTTTTGATTAGGATAGAGGCCAAGGAACAATGATCCCCATTAGTGATTTATAAAATTGAGTCCCTCACAAAAATAGGTTTCTCTGAGACCTTCAACTTAACTTTTACTTCATAAAATACATAAATAGTGCTTCTCAGATCTGATTTTTTCTTCATTCAGTTCAGCTAACAGAGTGAGCAAGAAGTAAGCATGCATACAAAAATACTAGAGAAGGCAAACGGTGCTCGCTGGCCACCCAGTCATCACCTCCTCTGTGGAACAAAGGGAAAATAAGCTTGACATCTGTTTGTGAAGTCATGTCTTCCTTCACTGCTTTTCTCCCTGCTCCATCACAGTGACATGAACTTGGTTGCAGGATGTTCCTGGACTAAATACTGATATTTCAGAGAGATGCTTTGATGGTCATTTCTGTTTCCATTAATTCATCTAGCTACTTTTCTCAAGTGTAAGAGCATAAACTGATTAGTGCTGAAGTATTCATTTTCATCAAGCCTTGGGTAAAAAAAAGAAAAAAAAAAAAAAAGGCAGAAAAATTCAGAGCTTCGTTATACAAGCATCCAGTGATGTGTGAGGGCTGCACAACCAGCCCAGGTGTGGAAGAAACTGCAACAGGGAACCGAGACCTAAACCAGCTCATAGAATCCAACACTGCTTTGTGCTGGAAGGGACCTTAAAACTCATTCAGTTCCAACCCCTGCCACAGGCTTGGATACCTTCCACTAGACCAGGCTGCTCCAAGCCCCGTCCAACCTGGCCTTGAACACTGCCAGGGATGGGGCAGCCACAGCTTCTCTGGGTAACCTGTACCAGCACCTCAGCACCTTTATCGTGAAGAGTATATTAAGATTAATCTTGTTCACAAAAGATCAGAACAAACAGGATGCTTTTGCTTCAGTCGGTAGGCTATTCTAACATGAGAAGCTTGACAGATGTCAGCCTCCTCCATCTCTCCAGTGAAATGCCCTGCTGCTGCCTGGGTCCATTTCTACTTCTTGCCTTTTATCACAGAGAAGTCATGCAGCCAACAGCATTTCTAGAGCAGTTCTGCAATCCTCCTGCTAAAGCACTAACACAAGCTTTCCGAGCTGAACTGCTGTGCTTCTTGTGCAAATGCATTAAATCATTCAAAGTATTACAACTTTACTTTTACAGAAATACCACATCAAAGTCCAAGTGGAGCGTGGATTTTGCCTTGGAAATTTTGTTTTTATTCTGTTTTAAGTTTCTTTCAACCATATTTTCCAACAGTTTAAGGCCAGCTGCCTATGCCTGGGAAACAGTTAATAATTTGGGACACCTCAACATCCTTGTGCACTAGCTAAGACCCTCTTATTATTTATTTTTACTTTATTTTTACAAGCTAAGTTTGTGCCAGCTATTAGATTATTTTTCTGTGACCTAAACTGATCAGGCATATCAGGAAAATGCTAAACTAAGGAGATTTTGCATCAGTGCCATGTTTTAATTTTGTACAACATTCAAACTAAATTCGTGCCTAAGGTACGAATGAATTCTCTTATTTATCCTGACATTTATCAGCCTGATATTCAAAGCACAGCCTCAAAGGTCAGTGCACAAGCTCTAAATATTTACTTCCTTTCTATGCCTCAAATCTTGAATTTTGTTGTTAAAAAAGGCACAAGCCTGGCCTAGCACTGGATTAGATTAAAGAAAGCTTCAAGAAACCAGAAGAGACGTGCCAAAACACACCAAAAGATTATTTGAGGCAACTGTAGTCAAAAGCCAAGGTGCACATTTCCAAACACAGTGAACTTGTGAAATGAGTGAATTTCTGAAGTTTGAAAAGTTAGTAATAGAGATGATAACCCAGATACTTTGAGAAAACATGGACTTTCATCCTATTTTTGGCTGAGCAATGCATTGCTTAATAATGAAATGACAGCTATGTGGTATTTTTATCACAAATCAGTAGAGGTGGGGAGTGAAAATAAAAGTCGCTCTCTTTTGATGAGCCATTTTCACATTAAGACCCAGAAGACCTTCAATTTTGGGTACCTATTTTTATATGACCAACATGAAGGGCTTTAGATCAGCTTTTCCTACAACCTGAATGTTCACAGCATTTCTTTGGAGATGTGACCATAAAACAAACTGTAAAGTTTCAAGTCTAAAAACCTGACATAAATGGCACCCAAATTTAGTGGCTCCTTCTGGGAGAACTGGTTATAATACCTCTACTTCTGATTATCTGTGATGCATAGACAAAAAGCCTCTCTTCTTTACAGAAGTGTGACAGGGAGTATACAGATATTGTATTAAAGTATTGAATTTATAAAATCAACATTTCTGTAAAGGTTGAAAAAATTGCTTTTTCTCACAGAAATATTACCTTCTAATAATTCCTACTCATTTTACTACAATAAATTTCTTTCAGTGTACAGACAATAAAAATACAATTTAAACGCCAGACTTAAGCCAAAAGTGATGCAATGCAGCAGTACACATCCATGGGGCAGGTCCTGGCTGAGCAGCCCACATTAAAGCTTTGCCGATAATGTCTTATTTCTGATAGATATTCAATCTTTATCTCTCCCAATAACTTCTGTGCTTATGTTTTCAACTGCCACCCTTATGTCCCCACAAGTTCTGATCCTCACAGCACATCAATTCAGCAGAAGTTGCAGTGCTGAGCCCAGAGCTCGCCATGGAGCACATCAGGATTTATGTCAGATACAGACATCAGAATACAACTGAGCATACTCTCATTAGAGCTGGTGTGAAATTACACCACGTGAACTTTAGGAGTTCTATGTCATTGTTGTCAGTACTCTTACCCGCATGGCAAGAAATTTAACATTATAAAAGACCATATTTGGTCAAATTTAAACCTTGGAAAACACTGTATTTCTACTGCTTGGCATTTAGTGACGCTTTTTTTTGGTGGTATTCCAACAGGTGACTCCTCAGGCTGGGACTCCCGCAAATACATGAAACCCCCTTGATATCAACTTACTTTTCTGTCATTAGGTTCAATATTTTCACCTTCACAGTCACCCTTGAAAAGAAAAAAACAACAGAAAATGTGTGTCAGTCAGTGAGTCTCATCCAGAACTGCTTTGCATCTTGGATACCCATGTATCCCACTCAATGCATCAAAACCAGAAAAAGCAATCTGTAAAATAATGCTGTATTTTAGGAGGTCATTTGTCATAGCACACTTTGTCTTCTGTTGGCAGGCATATTAAGAAAGAGTAATAACATCTGTCACTGGGGCAAAAGAAATTAATAAGTGATAAAGGTGGCCTAAAAATGTCAAGGGAAAGGATGTGGTATTGCCATGGTATTTGGGGTTCAGCTCAGTCCACTTGAAACAGAAGAGACCAGTTGGGAGAGCTGATCCCTATCTAGACTCTCCAAACACTCAGGGCTGATTAGATTTGAGGTTTTAATTTGGAGCTATTTTTAAATATGATAAAGGAGTAAACCAAGACAATAACTTATATACAAGACTATCAGTAGCTGTCTAAAGACGTGAGACAAGTGCATGCAGAGAAGTTATTTAACCTTTCTCGATTTCTAAGCAATAATGATGTAGTTTAAAAATGTCTGACATTTATGATAAACATCAGGCAGATAAAAAGGCTGTTCTGATCTCAGCTACACTGAGATAAAACACTTATGGAACCATGCAAAAACAGTGTGAATAAGGGGAGCAGAAAACTAGGAAGACACACTTCATCTTCACATCCCATGCCAGAAAACCGGCTCTTCCTATGCTCACACAGCCAGCACATTGTGAGCGGCACGACTGCCACATCACCTTGAAATCTGCCAAGCCTCTCTGTAAGGGTCTAGTTAAGAGCAAGCGTGTTTGTCAGTTCCAGTTGAACCTGTGCATCTCTGGCAGGATCAAGTAGGAGTGCCACCAAAATTCCCTCCCTCTCTCTAACCCTCTCAAGAAACACTACAGTTGAACACAGTCTTGACGTCTTACTCGACTGCTCAAAAGCAGTCTTCAACAGGAAGAAGGTCTGCAGGCACATCCAGTCCCATGAAAGATGTCACTTCAAAGTCTTGCTTATGGTTCTTATTGTCTCTGTACTTGCAAGGAGGATGCCAGGGAGATGTGCATGAGGGAACTAGCCACTTGCTGCCCCAGGAATAAATATGTTTCCTAGCACTGATGCCAGGGATTGTGGGTGCAGAAGGTCATCAAATAACAGAAGCATTTCATTTGCTAAGCCACCAAAACAACTCTTCTAATGTTACATTCAAATGTCAGTTATGATCATCAGAGGCAGAACAAAGGTGGGGGATTCATTAAAAGCAAGCAGAATGATGGAAACGACCTGCAGAGGTTACTGCAGTCGTGATATAATCAAGCAGGAGGTCATGCCCAAAAACACTGATGTTTGAGATGATGCCATTAACAACACATTAATGATGTCAGGTAGTAGACATGTAAAATATATTGCAAGATCACTTACGTCATGCAAAGGATATGCAGCACTGTAAACTCCATTGGCAAGCAGGCTGGTGATCCCTTAAAAAATAAAGACATAATAGTAATTTATAATTTTGAGGTGAGACAGTCTCACTTTATCATCCTTCCTGAAGATTTCCCTCAAAATAACAGTCAGATAATGATTTTCCTGCCATCTCATTCCTTTCCATGTTGTTTCATTTTTAATTATATAGGTTATTAAACATGACTCATTTTATGAAATGGAAAACTGCAGAGAGCAAGAGGAAGTCATATATATTTGAGAATCAAGAATTAGAAGCCAATGACTTGAAATTAGTCATTAAAATAAATTGCATTTTCTGAAAAGTCAGTTTGATTGAAGGGCAAGCCTGCAGATTTGAAAGTGTGTAGCAGAAGGCTGGATCACGTGAAGAATATGGCTGGAATTGATGGCATATGGGAATACACATACGCACGCATCATCCACACAAAGTTTTGAATTCAGATTTCAGATTGATTAGAGAAATTGTAGGGAAAGCCTTTGCAAAGACCTTGGCATAATACTCACCATATTTACCACATTTTCGTCTTTTATTTAAAAGGGTAGCTTCCTTCTTTCTTCCCTCTCCTTTCCCTGTTTACACATCCGTTTATTAGTGACATGCATGAGGCTGAAAGCAATTAATGCTTCATCTATAAAATGTATGTGGCAAAAGGGACTTTGAGGAGTCCTGCTTCCTCAGGTGTGGTATTGCTCCCTAACTTGGGGCCAGAGTACAGGTGGGTTGGGAGGACTTAACGTGCAAGTTTGGAGGGCGCAACAGTGAGGGGCTCCCAAAGGTCACTTGGCTGGAATTGGACCTTTGAGGGCTGTAGCCCTCAAAGTGAGAATATCAGAGAAGTAATGTGCTACACTACATTACTTCTCTGATATTCTCGCTGCAGCTGCTGGCATTAATAGAGCTACTTCCAGTTATGGTGTATTACCCACATCTGAAGGTGCCATATTATCTGTGAAGATATATTTGGGGATTTAACATATCAGTCTTGGGTGCTGAATCAGACTAAGTCAAGTACTTAATGAGACATTAGGCAGAAGCTCTTCCCTGTGAGGGTGCTGAGGCGCTGGCACAGGGTGCCCAGAGAAGCTGTGGCTGCCCCGTCCCTGGCAGTGTTCAAGGCCAGGTTGGATGGGGCTTGGAGCAACCTGGTCTAGTGGAAGGTGTCCCTGCCTGTGGCAGGGGGTTGGAACTGGATGATCTTTAAGGTTCCTTCCAACCCAAACTATTCTGTGATTCTATACTTGTCTTTGTGCAAGGCTAAGCTCATTAATGCCAAATATATATGGCATCTTGGAGAATTTAAAAGTACTTAGAAAAACTAAAGAAAAAAGATGTACTACAGTGTGCTCCAGGTTGCCCATCAGTTCATTGATAAAAGTGTGGGATTAGATTTGGATTAACAGTGACTATGAACCAGGAAACAGCTCACTGAACAATGGGTTCCTGAGACTTTTTTGATTGTTCTTGAAATGAGAATTTTTCAAGTTCCTGACCATTTTTGAAATACTAATCACCTGCTGAAGGAACTGCTCCAGGAGGGTTTAGTATCTTGCAGTACCACTGATTTTCAAAGTCCTATTTAAGATTATAATAGCACTACGAATTGTCTGCAAATGTCTCCACATATCTGCAGAAACAACTAGTAGGGCTGTGAGACCAAGAGCTACATAGTACCCTTCTACATCTCAGCATTTAACAATAAAGGCACATTGACATTTTCACAAATTTTCATACTAAATAACAAAGACTGCAGTGTTCACTAGGCAGCTGCCTTTTTCCTGCTGGGCAGAAATGTTGCAGCATTATCTGTGTTTGCTCAAATCTATTTGCCACCTTTGCTGGGTTGTAACCCAGCATTCCAGTGCTGGAACACAAAGGACCTGATTGAGTTAGGCTGAGTGTACCCATGGATGGGCTAGCCTAATGACATTTTATTAGGTGCACTGTGTGGCCTTGCTAATCTCAGAATGATTCAGGAATCCTAACACCTTACCTTCCTTTAGTCTCTACCCTATTCAACTAATCTCTAATGTGTTTCCCATTTCTGGACACACACACATAAAAGAAAGAAAAATAAATAAATCGAGTTAACCAATTACAAAGCAAGAATTCAAACTGAGCTGTATGACCTTCCCCTTTCAAGAGTGCAAATACGTAATTTCCAATGAAAATGATCCAGCACCAGGCTCAAAAAAGGTCCTGAAAGTCACAGATTAATTTGGATTTCACATGCTACAGGGAAGCAGTTCTGTTAATACTGGCTGAACACCAAAATTTAGTATATATAAGGACTCAACAATTGTACATTGTATTTTGTTACTTCAACAGAAAAGTCAAAGCATGGAAATAATTTCTGGCATAATTATTCTTCTATTATTTGATGTATTTCTAAGCAGCTCATAGGTCAATATTGAACAGAACTACCTGTAATTCAAGTTCCCATTGTTTTATTTAAGCGCTTGTAGGCAAATATGTACCATAACAGATTCCAACAGTTATCAAACATTTTCTCACATGCATTTTTCTCTTACAAATTTGTTTCTATTGGCTTACTGTTAAGAAGCTTCGATCTGAAGGAATTCATCCTTCTACCTTCTATGATTTGGTTTATCAGTAACTATTTATTAACTCTGGTCCCCCAGTCAAGTATACACCTATCTATCATAATACACATAAAATCAAGTTTCTAAGTGCTGACAAATCTTAAGGTGACTTGATTTGCAACTGATGCTTACCTGCATTATGAATTGTTTTTACAGTGAAGCCCTAAGGCTGAAATCCTAAAAGTGACTTGCTGTGGCAGTACAAACTTCACACTCACTGACTTGCAGCAACTGCTCTAAGGGCTAAGAGATATGCCAACTTTCAGTCCATGCCTTAGTCCTGGGCTTTTTAATCTGGGTCATCTCAGTTCCATTTAGGACAGTGTTTGGAGCAGTCACCAATTAAGACCATTCCATTTAAGTCATTCAAAGGCAATCCCATGATAAAAATGTAAGGTTCCTACTTAGAAGGAATGAATCAAGACACAGACCTTCACTGCAGTTATTGAAATTCATGGTAATAACCTCATCCACATCAGTATGTGCAAAACTGAACCAGTGCAGAGCAGGTATCAGCCACTGGTTTATATCACCATCTAGTCCTGCTGCAAAGGACCCAACTAACATCTGCAGGGCCTATATGCTCACCATTTAATTTAGAGTTGAATCTATAAATTCATATTTGAAAAAAATCCAAATGGCTACATTACTTAAATTAAAGTTCCAAATAAAACCATTATATCCACATACATCAAATTAGAGAGCAGGGAAAAACCTGAACTCCACAGCTTGCATTTATTTTCAATACCTGAAAACAGTATCGATCTTAGAGCTAAATGGAGTTCCTTACCCATGCTGTATTTTGCTTTGGTACATGTTGTTCTTTTCAATATTTCATAAACCTATAGAAGTAAAATAAAAGAAACGAAAGGGTTACTTCAGCTACTGCCAGTGAAAAGCATGATCTTTTTGTGTACAGCTCAAATATTGGCAAAACCACAATGCCGATGAAGTCATCATTCTTTAATAAAAGTCGTGGTATTCAGAAGAGCAGGACTTAAAGATTTCCATGCAAGAGAGAAATGCTTAACAAAATACCAGCTACCAACATAATTGATTGTCGGAAACAGGGAAACATCTAACCTGTCACATATCAGAAATGCTGGTTTTGCTTATGGTAGACATTGATTACTGATCAAAAGCCCTCTTATACCAGGACCACACGATGTGCTGCACCAGCTCTTCCCTCACCTCTGACGGCACAAGCTGGCTTCAACCCAAGGATTTCAGCAGAGCTTCACGCTCCTAACATATCCACAGCATGCAGCTGCTCATCAGAAACTGGACTACCAGAGGGTGACCCTAAAACTTCTGGGTTTGCACAACCTCAGTGGCAAAACAGATGTCTTTATTTTAGGATTTATTGCATTTATTGTTAAATAACCTTCGCACATCTCAGCATGCTGCCTGAGTGGTGAAGCTTTCAGCCAATCTTGTGCTTTTAGGCAAGCACTGTGCCAGTGTGAGGCTGGCCAGGGAGAGGGCACTAGGGGAAAACCTCAAAGGCAACTGCTGCCCATTGCCTGGCCCGCCAGAGGAATCAGGGACCAGTTTCCTTTGGGATGACCACTAACCCATGCACTAACTTGATTGCCGCCCAATTCCCAGAGGGAAGGAAACAAGTGAGAGCATGCAGAGCAAGCCCCACAGCTCATCTGTCTGTCATCATCTTGGAGCAGCATGAGTTCAAGGGCTGTCACAGAGATTTCCAGTTATATAATGTATATTTTTATTTTAAATAAGTGAAAGGTCTTTGGCTTAGTTTCTATTCATCAAAGACCCACAGGCAGTGATTAGATTCCTGTTCGTTTTGGAGTGGGTGGAAGGGTCAATATTTGCACTGTGGTTTAAAAGTACCTATGAGAAAGGCAGGACAGAACTTTAAAGAAAGAAGAACACAAAGGATAAAATGATGCTTGGGAAACATTCAACATGTCTTCTATTACTGGGTGACTTACAGGGGTTTCAAACAAAGCAACATACTACCAGCATTTTTGTTATATGCCCAGTGTCCCTTGACTGGTTTACAAAACCCCCATCTTTCCTCTTCCTCCCAGCCTCTGCTATGAGCTCCTTTTGTTTCAGTTAGTTTTGCTCACCCTCTTGTTCTACAGTGCCATTTTGTCTTGCCATCTTTCTCAGCTTGTTGCCATGAATTTTAACTCTTCTTGTGCTCCCTTAAGTTTCTTGTACTTACAAGGGTTTTTAACATACATCTGGACATGTAAAGGAAAGTCTACATACAAAAGCTGCGCTTTTTTTTTTTTATATCTCAACTGAAATACTTTATCACAAATAAATCAATTCAGTGTTTGTCTTTTTCTTTTCCATCTCTGTTCTACTGCATCTGTCCTCCCTGGTCAAACACACACAGCCCTGATAACCTGTGGTTGCATCAAACCAGTGCATTTCAAGCTACAGGGAAATTACGTTCTAGGGTCGCCACACTGGAATTTCAAAGCAGGAAAGGGAAGTTAGATATCTTAACACCCGTTATCACGATAACAAGAAAAGGCAGCTATAAATGCGATATAAGCTCTTTTTGAAACCACTTAGCATCCCCAAAAGCTAATGTTAAATATAAAATAAAAGCATGCTCACAGTCACATTCCAATGCACTGATTAGCAGCAGTGGAATGGGGCAAAGAGTCCACATTATACTTGAAATGTGTTGCAGCAAGTCTGCTTGGCATGGACCCTTCCAACTGCCCTGGATTTCATATGGGCTGGATTGCAATTCCCCCCTCATTGGCTATAAAGGAGGCTACACCTTCTTCCCCACTCCATTTTATGTTCTGTAAGTCAAATGAAAGCACTGGAATGTAGTTTGTGGCATCATATTCCTGTCCTAGCCTTGATTTCTTGTTTAATTAACAAAGGAGAAGTCCTGAACTAGCACTGAAGGAGTAGAAAGACCCTAGAGCTGGCAAAGGGGTTATTAACACCACGACTAAGACAATATGCCCCACAAAGTATTTATATATGGTACTTACTATAGTGCTCCTCGTTTTGCTGTCAAAGAAGGAATCTCTGTCAGACAAATCAAATCTGTTAAAAGATTAGAAGGAAGCCCATTAGGTTAAAGAAGAAAAAAAAAAAAAAACCAGTAATATCCTGCTTTTCTTGTTCATTTCAATATTTCTATTGTTCCTGTGGATCTCCCATAGCTAATACTGAAGAATAGCTTGTAGAAACCTCGTTAAAAAGAAAGTACATCTCAACTGTCATATTTTAAAGAGTTCACCAGTTATATATTTCTGGGTTTTCCGTACACAAGAGGCTGTTGATGCTCACTGAAGTTGAATTCCCAACCACTGCTGGCCTTGAATTTTCCTAATAATCTTTACATCTTGTTTGCACATCAAACCCTGTGAGGCCGCTCTTGCCTCCCTTATTTAGCACAGACACAGGTAGGATCACTTTAAAAAGCCACCACTGCAAAAAGTATAAGGTACATCCACACCTAACCTAAGGGCCTTCTCCTTAGCTGCAGGAACATTCTACATGCAAGTCCAAGAACTTGTCAAATGTCACAAATATTGCCTGGCCCAAATGACACACACAACTACATCAGTGTTCTGCATTTCTTGATTAAAAAATAAAACCCCTTTATGTACCATGAAGAAATCCTGCCCTAGGACTGTTATTTGTTCCAGCTGGCACAAACATAAACACAACCTTCAAAGCTTCTTCTCTGGGATGTTGGCCAAGGAAGAGGAGCCGCAAAGCAATCCAGGGCAGTCAAAACTTTGGTTGGACCTCGCCTTATGATTTTTTCCTACGCCCACATTCACAGCTTAATCTTTCTGATTCGAAATTGAAGGCAAAGCTACCACCAACTTCATCACATTTCCAAAGACAAGGCCCGGTTGACAGAACATGTCTGAGCTGCCCATACTGGATGACTGAAATTATTCTGAAATTTATCAACCCACATCTTTGGCTATGAGTTTCACCAAGCATTTTGTTCTACATGGAAAAGAGACTATTGCAAATCACATTACAAATCGTGTTTGGCAAGTCTAAGAGTTGATGTGTGTAATTATATAGATATGTATTATATACCACAACAGTAGCTAAACCACAAAGATTTCACAAGAGGGGATCTACAAGCCTCATTCCTCAACAGTGAGTAAAAAGAAAAAAGTATATTTACTGCAAAACAGAAATATTCTTTATAATAATCGCAGAATCCCAGACTGGTTTGGGTTGGAAGGGATCTTAAAGCTCATCCAGTTCCAACCCCCTGTCAGGGGCAGGGACACCTTCCAGTAGACCAGGCTGCTGCAAGCCCCGTCCAGCCTGGCCTTGAACACTGCCAGGGATGGGGCAGCCACAGCTTCTCTGGGCAACCTGTGCCAGCGCCTCAGCACCCTCACAGGGAAGAACTTCTGCCTAAGAGCTCATCTCAGTCTCTCCTCTGTCAGGTTAAAGCCATTCCCCCTTGTCCAAATCTCCTCTCCAGATTTCTTCTAATCCCTAAGAAAGCATTGGCATCCATTTTCCCTGTCACCTTTTGGTGCCTTAGCTACTAGCAGAAAGGCTGGAACCTCTTGACATAGACATTTACAGAAAGCTTTCACTTACAAGTGCTGCTTCTCTCTGGAGAAGGGGTAGGAGAGGCGCTTCGCTGTCTGAGGTTTGTGTTCTGCTACTTTTGGCTGAATTGGTTCTGTTATTTTTTGAATGACAGAATTAATCTTTTTCAGAAGACCGTGAGTCTGATTGATCTGATACATCTGAGTGGGCAAAAAGAAAAACAGTAAAACCCCATTGCTTTTTGCTTACCCTTAAATGATAGTGAACTGTAAGGAATAAACCATCCATTACATAAATACATCACAATAAATTATCAAGAAGTATAGGTTACCTTCTTGAAAACATTCAGAAAGACAGAAGGATGGGAAAACCAAACCAAGGCAAGCAGAGGAAGGCTACTGCTCTTCTTCTGAGCTAAAACATGGCCTGTGTTTGATTCCAAATAATCAGACTGAGATGCGCAATGGACATATAGTCAGCACCGGCTCCTGAGACACCAGCTTCTTTGGCATTTACTATTTTCATTGTGCAATGGGACAAAAAAATGAAGGAGCCAGTGAGTCCCTGTTCAAAACAGCAGAAGTGGTCTCCTCTCTCAGGGGGCTTTCCTGGGAACATTGTGCAGGTTTCAGCAGTTTCCCCTTTTCCATATAAAGGAACCACAATATCTTGAATTGCAACTGCAATTCTGTAGCACTAAATGCAGAAATTGTGTTAGCAGGTCACAGAATAGGATTTTACAGGCTTCTCTCCCTGAGCCACATAAACTATGTGCAGATTCAGGGCCAGTCTCCCACTGCAGGAAGACGCTTGTCTGGAAGTAAGGCTTTAGGGATCTGAGGGTGTTCTCAGGCACATGACTTCTCCTGGGCCATGCCTGCAGGGCTCGGTGACCTCTTTCACACTCAGTAAAAAGCCCCACAGAATGTCCATGTACCTTCTCTTTTGTGGCAAAGCAGCTTTAACCACAGGATCACAGCAGACTTTTTTTATCTTACTGTGCTGTCGATTTAAATCAGTGGTAAGTGAGGCAATAAGGGGGATTAATCTGAAATCCAAACCAAAAGTGTGGCTTTAGTGTTGTAACAACTGACGCTGGGCTTTAAGACTGTCTCTTGCTCCATTATAGACTTCCCTCTGTAGTCTGGGATGTGCACTTAGTAAGTGTTTAAATATTAATCCATCTCTAAGCTATGCTCAGTGAACAGGTAGCAATCTATCACAGATGAATTAGAACTGATGAAAATACACTGTCATTTCTTTAATGGTATTTCAAATCTTCTGAAAGGTAATTTATTTTGTGGTACAGTAGTCCCAACTCCTGTAAACATGACTAATGATGTATATGACTACTCACTAAACTCAGCAAGACTGCAACAAATTGTTACCCTCATTATCATTTTTAGCAGTCCAGTGTTTCGGGTGAGGAAAAAGCCTCTGAAACACACACAGAAATGTCATCATCAGTTACAACTTCTCCTTTTAAAACACAATGTGAAGATGCGGCATCATATGAGATAACTCCCACTGTGTACAGGTACCTGCCAGGAATTCTGGATTTCCATTCCTCCTTCCGTCTATTCTTTCTGCTTTCCCGAGTAAGCAAGTCTGTGGCACTTATTTTCTGTACCGATTAGTTAACTATTTTAAAAACACTTATGGGAAGAAAAGTCCATGTTTATAAGGTGCTCAGAGATATGTTTAAACTATACCTTCCAGAGGAGCAAAAAAAGAAAATCAGGACTTACCTTTTTTGTGGGCATCTTGAGCTTAAGAAATTCAGCCTCTCGACACAACACATTCCATGGTGCATGTATTTTTACGAATCCAATCCCATGGATTTTAGTCTTTAAATAAAAAAGCAAGAGGTTTACTGAAAAAAAGCAAAAGGTTACTGAAGAAAGGAAACCAGATATTTTTCCCCTTGTGTTTCACAAGTATTTCAGGAACAAACCATTGTTACTATTACCACCACACAATAAAACTTTGGGACAGCCAGTTTCTAACAGAACAATCACTGAACACCTCTTTGTGCTGAGCTGCTATAAAATTTGACTCAAAAATGCAATTGTCTTCCAGAACAATTACCACAAGTTTAAACAGATCAAAATGGTTTGCGAAATAAAAGCTAATGACTATGGACACAAATACAGGCTAAGACAGTTAAATCTGAAGTACAGGCATCCAGCCAAATAATATGATTTCTTGAGTGTGTTGAGCTGAAAGAGTCCCTGCTGCCTCCTAAGAGCTGCTCAGTGTCCCATTGGATCAGAACTGAAGGAAGAAAGCAGTCTCAGGTACAGAAGTGAACACTGTGCGCAGTTCTGGTGTCCTCAACATAAAAAGGACAGGGAACTGCTGAAACAAGTCCAGAGGGGGCCACGAGAATGATCAGGGGCCTGGAGCACCTCCTGTATGAAGACAGGCTGAGAAAGTTGGGGCTGTTCAGCTGGAGAAGAGAAGGCTGCGTGGAGACCTCAGAGCAGCCTTCCAGTATCTGAAGGGGGCCTATAAGGATGCTGGGGAGGGACTCTTCATTAGGGACTGTAGTGATAGGGCAAGGGGTAATGGGATAAAACTTAAACAAGGGAAGTTTAGATTGGATATAAGGAAGAAATTCTTTCCTGTTAGGGTGGCGAGGCACTGGAATGGGTTGCCCAGGGAGGTTGTGAACGCTCCATCCCTGGCAGTGTTCAAGGCCAGGTTGGATGAGGCCTTGGATGACATGGTTTAGTGTGAGGTGTCCCTGCCCGTGGCAGGGGGGTTGGAACTTGATGACCTTAAGGTCCTTTCCAAACCTAACTATTCTATGATTCTATCCTACGATTCTATGATTTTAATTAGGAAACCTGGTAGGTAGAATTAAACAAAACAAAAAATTAAAAAAGGAGCAAAGTTAATGATAATATTCGCCTGCATCCCATGAGTTCTCTAAGCTGAATTTTGCCCCTGACAGTCTCACATGCACCTGTACTGACTTCCAAGGAGTCAATAATTTCAAAGGAGTCATAATTCCAAAGCCACTGGAGAAATTACATTAAACTAGCAGGCACTCAGCAAACAGAAGATCAAGAAGCTTGAATGAATCTTTCTAATCTCACTGCTGTGTCAGTTCAGGCAATAATTATAATAACTAGCTTTCATGCAGCAACATTCCACACTGGCTTTCTAGAAATCAGTTACTCAGAGGTCATAAATAACTGCCAGGCTTCTCACAGGGCATGGCTTCCAAATCACCTTCGGATTTATTTCACGGAAGGGAGTTTCAGTGGCTTAGCAGACATAATCTGTTTAACAAACCTTTGCTCTCTTTACAATTAGTATGGCCTCCAGTGCAACTTTGGGGTGTGCTTTTCAAGCCCAAAGGATTGCAGGTTTTTCCCCCTACACTGAATGAACTGGATACGAAAGCTAGGGCAAATCCCCGTGGCTTGCTCTTACCTCTATACATTCCTGATCTGGTTTGGTATCTTGTACTGAAAGAGCAGAGTTCTCTCTCTTTCATGGTGTTCTGGCTTGAACTCTGAGCCCTCATCTGTCATTTCAAACAATATTACGTGTCATAGGTGGGGACCTCCGACTTTGCTAGGGATTTAACTATCTATGGCTTGCTCAGCAAGCTTCCAGTTCACTACAACAAATTGCAAGTTTTACAGAAAGCAAGTCTTACATCCATCTGGGGGACAGAGAAATGAAAGTGATTTTTTGCATTATAACATGCAAAATATGTGGTTTATTTCCTAGATCATACAAATCAAAAATCCCAGACTGGTTTGTGTTGGAAAGGACCTTAAAGCTCATCCAGCTCCAACCCCCTGCCACGGGCAAGGACACCTTCCACTAGAGCAGGATGATCCAAGCCCCGTCCAGCCTGGCCTTGAACACTGCCAGGGATGGGGCAGCCACAGCTTCGCTGGGCAACCTGTGCCAGTGCCTCAGCACCCTCACAGGGAAGAACTTCTGCCTAAGAGCTCATCTCAATCTCCCCTCTGTCAGGTTAAAGCCATTCCCCCTTGTCCTACAGGCCCTTATTAAAAGCCCATCTACAGATTTCTTGTAGGCTACCTTTAAGTATTGGAAGACTGTTACAAGGTCTCTCCCTAAGATAGACATATGATATATATATATATTATATATCTTTCATTATGTATCTGCCTGTAATCTGTGGGTAATAGGTGGCAGATTTAGTTTTTTAACACACGGATCACAGGTCTGATCTCAACTCTCAGATCCAGTAACTAAAACCAGCATAAATGTTTACCCTCCTTCACAGGAATTTCAGGCATATCGGTTGGATCAGTTAATTATAATAGTTTTCTTTGAAGTCAATACAGCCCTGCTTATTCCTACTAATCATACGCTGGCAGTGCTTCACACACATCATTTTTCACAGGGTCTAATGGTCTTTTAATAGAATATGTTGTTTTCAGGGTACAGGTGAAAGTGTTGCAAGCTGTACTGTTCATATCTAAGAATGGAAAGAGAAAACTATAACACAGACCCACGTGCTCCAGCTAAAGCACGTACCGGAACCTCCTGAGCAAATTGCATTCCCCTGAAGTCTATACTGAGGCAGAGAAATGCCACTGTCAGTATCAGATATTGTTCATCAGAACTGGATTTACCAGTGGCTCCAAACCACAGCATACTGTAAACCCACTAAACTGGGATTAGTACTTGGAGCAAAGTTGAGAGCAGTCTAAGTCTCACATCTAGATATGGCAATACATCAACAAGCTGTGCAAAAGTGGATGTGCCATGAGTTCTGGCCAAGAAAAGTAAGGAACTTCACCTCACTGCAGCATTAACACCACCACGGCCCATTGCTGTGAAGTGAATTAAATCACTGGGCAAGGATGGAGCTGCCAGAACTGGAATCAAATTCTGGAAGAGCTCAGCTTGTATAACATCTCCCAGGATTCAATCACCAGTTATCCTCCTTGTCTTTGTCTTTGAAATGGCTCCTTACATCCTCATCGTGTTCCAGTTCCAGGCCAGCCTCCACAAGGTTCCCTTCGTACTCCTCCCTGCGAAATCTCTTGTCATCTTCGTGGTAATCCATGTGAGGCTCGCTTTCCCCCATCTCCAGCTGCACTCCTTTCCCAGGAAGGGGCTGCTCCTGCTTGGTGCTCCGGGCAGTTGAATCATTATGAGCTCTCCTGATGACTGTCCTCCCCGCTGAGGACTTCTTGTACTGATAAACTAGGATGTAGTCTACTTTTCTCTTGCCATCTCTGAAGTAGAGTCCGTATTTGCAGTCAGCATCTGGATTTTTGGATAGGGAATTTAATAACTGGAAGCAGGGAATGGGGGTGTAGAGAAGGAGAGAGGGGAAGAAGAATGAGTACACGTGCCAACATGGACACCAGACAGACCATATCCTTGTATCAAGGACTCCTTGCCTGGAGCACACATTGACCTATCTTCAAACAGCAAGCAGAGGGGAGGAGCCCCCCCAGTAATTACTCAAAACAATTTTGCAAGTTAACACCTGCAATTTTACAGCTAGCCAGCTGGATTTCATTGGCCAGAAATAAATAGATAAAATGACTGGGATTTAATCTAACTACTAGCACATTAGTTCATAAGCCATCTACTTGGTGGATTTGGTTTTCTCCTTTGGGGGTTAATCACCACTAAGATCATCTGTCTTTTTCCACTCAAGACATATCTGGGTTTCAATTCTGACAAATAGATTAATATCATGTGGAAACATTTCTCACTTCTCTTATCTATCCTTGCAAGTTTGTATCATCTGAGAAAGAGATCATCTTAGATACAGATTGAAGGGAGCCAGCTGGTCAAGAAGCCAGGCCAAAACTACAGTTGGCCCATAGCCAGGAAAGTTTACTGCTTACTGAGTCCATCACCTTTTTTTTCCCCACTTATATAAAACCTTTGTGGCTTTGCAATCTAATGGTGCCAAAGGTTTTATTCCCATCTTGAATTAACGCTGTGTAAGTGCTGCAAGATGCAAGAGATATAAGACTTAAAACATAATTCCATTTCCAACCATTTATCTGAAAAATTGCCCAGGGCAACTGTAGAAACATAAAAAAGTACTAACAATTATTCATTTCGCCTTTCAATAGCACTTACCATGCCTAATTCACGAGTCTACCCTTCGAGATACACAGACCATTTAAAAAGCATGAAAATTCACTGGTAACTTGCATTTGTTTTTACAAAAAATGCGGTGTGTATTTTTCTACAAAAAATGAGTGGATAATTTCAGGAACATTTTCTGGCCTTTAATTTTACATGAGTATGTTAAGTCTACATGTAGGGAAAAGGACTTCTGCTCAAAATGATACCAGTTGGCTATGAGTTAGAAATTGTATCAGTCAAAATCCAATTGGGATGTGTATACCCTCTGCTTTCACGCATAAGACCATGAATCTAAGTTATCTAGAAAGAGCTATTTAAAAACCAGATTAAAAGACCAATCTCTGAGTTTACTGCACAGTATATCACAGCTAATATGGCCAAACGTCATCAAAACCCACCCAATGTTACACAAATTTGCATCTTTATCTGAACATCCTTTTGGGGAGGGCACGTCCCAGCTACCTTAACTATAAATCATTGCATCTAAGAGACAGACTGATCTCCCTTTTTTGCCTTGGCAAAATTTTTACTCATACAACAAATTCAAGCAGGAAACCCCAACTTTCTGAGTTTGGAAGGAGGAGGAAGTGTAAGTAATTAGACAAGTGTAATAAGATGAGCGCAGAGCAATACCAAGCAACAAGGACTGCAGAGAGCAAGAGCCCGAGATGCCAGGCAGTCTGAAGTGGGAATGCAGAACATTTCTTACCTTCCAAAGCCTGACTTGACTATGCCTGCCCAGGGCCAGCTTGGCTGCAGGTCTGCACCTCCTCAGTCCCTCACAGCTTCACTCCATGCCTGCCTTTGCTATCTGTTTCTCTCTTCTTTTCATAGAATCCCAGACTGGTTTGGGTTGGAAGGGACCTTAAACTTCATTCAGTTCCAACCCCCTGCCACAGGCACACCTTCCACTAGACCAGGTTGCTCCAAGCCCCATCCAACCTGGCCTTGAACACTGCCAGGGATGGGGCAGCCACAGCTTCTCTGGGCAACCTGTGCCAGTGCCTCAGCACCCTCACAGGGAAGACTTCTGTATAAGAGCTCATCTCAGTCTCCCCTCTGTCAGGTTAAAGCCATTCCCCTTGTCCTGTCCCTACAGGTCCTTCTCCGAAGTCCCTCTCCAGGTTTCCTGTAGCTCCTTTAAGCACTGGAAGCTGCTCTAAGATCCCCCCTTAAGAAGCCTTCTCTTCTCCAGGCTGAACCAGCCCAGCTCTCTCAGCCTGTCTCCAGAGCAGAGCTGCTCCAGACCTCACAGTACCTCTGTGGCCTCCTCTGGACTCACTCCAACAGCTCCACATCCCTCTTGTATTGTTTCCCCAGAGCTGGACACAGGACTGCAGTGGGGGGTTCTCCCCACAGCACAGTAGAGGGGCAGAATCCCCTCCCTTGACCTGCTTCTCACACGCTGGGGATGCAGCCCAGCACATGGGGGGGTTCTGGGCTGAAGCACACACAGCTGCTTGCAGTGGGATCCTCCAGCATCACACCTCTCTTTTCCATTGAACTTAAACCCTTTGCTCCAAATACATAAACACAGAGTAAAACAAATTAGCATCTGCTGCCACTATGTCATTCACTCTATGTCCTATTCCCTCTTTCCCCTGCTCCACATCTCTCTTATTTAACCATAACAATAACACATTCTTTAGGGCACAGGCTGCTCCTGTTTGTGCCCTGTCTAGAAATTCCTATTCAGTTCTTAAGCATAATACAATATAGAAGTCCATTATTAAGTATTCCTTTCCAACTGCTTCATAATTAATGGCATGCACCTGTGAATCCAGAATATGTGTCTAAGCAAGCTGACAGTCTGCTTGTGGAGGGCAACTCAGTTAGTTATGCAAATTTCTGTAGAAGCAAAATATAAAGGAATATTAGCTAACTGGATTTTCAGGTTATAAAGCCTCAAAGTAAAGAGTTGTAAACAACATACAGGAACACTGGAATTTCTTTGAAGGTAACTAATTGTATTTCTATTTTAAAGCTGTATTAATCATTGATTAATTAAACATCAATTTCTGAATCATAGAATTAGTGAGGTTGGAAACGACCTTTAAGATCACCAAGTCCAACCATTCCCCAGCACAGCCGAAGCCACCACTAAACCATAGCACTGAGCACCTCGTGTACACGGTTTGTGAACACTTCCAGGGACAATGACTCCACTATTGCCCTGGGCAGTCTGTTCCAATGCCTGAACACCGTCTCGGGGAAGGAACTGTTCCTAATATCCGGTCTAAACTGGGCTGAACCCAATGCAGGGAGATAAAATAGGCAGAAGACTCAGACCCCAAAAAGTTCCTACCTTCATTGTGTTGACTTTATGAACGACAAATTAACTGGCCTGTTCTGGAGACTAATAGATAAGGGAAATGGGCAGGCCTGAAAATGGCTCTAGAAGATGACAGTGGTGAGTACACACCAGGTTCTTCTAACTACTTGAGGAGCTCAGGAGAGATCAGTGTATCCTCTTTTCCTAGAGCATATCCTGGCTGGAGAAAAAGACACCAAAAATCCCTGGTGTCTCTTTCTTTGACCCACTGCACAGGGAAGCGGAGGTGTCACACTGCAGAGACTGAATGAGAGCTTCTTCACATTCATTCACCTTTTCTGTTGAAAAGCTGATCCTTGTGGGGCCTCACTGATGATATAGGAGAAGATGCTGCACTGTGGACATACTAAAGCCTCAATATGTATATTAGTATACAGGAATAGCTTTATGCCACTGTGAAAGGAATGCAGCTGAAAAACTCAAAGCCTGGTGGTCCTGTTCTGAAGAAATCAAGGGTTAGATTATTTTACAGATGGGGTATTAATGCTGAAAGGTACTCAGGCCACATCCTTTCTTGAAGCGCTGCTACAATGAGTTACACTGACTTGGACCATGTAAAGTCCATGTCAATTCAGGTGCAAATGAGACAGAGAAACATCTCAGTTTACCACAGCAGGAAGGATGTTTACACTCTGACACAATTATTCCTACATGATCCATCCCAATTAATCACAAGCACAATTAATTCAACATTGCTTTGTCTGATACAGCTTTCCCCAAGGAGAACTGTTACATATCTCACTCCACCTCAGTTCCTTCACCTGAATAAACTCCTTTTTATGTGTTTATGACATAACCAACTCCCAATCCTTTTGGATACTCAGATTACTTTTAAAATTAGTATTAAAGAATCCACCAAGGCACAATTAATGACACTGGAAATTGAACCTCTATTGCGTGATACAGAATATTAGTTATACCTACATTAACAATAGCTGTTGCATGAAATTTTGGACAATTTTTCTGTTCTGCTCTTTATGGCCCAAGAGATTTAAAAGCTGTCACAGCCTCGTTGCCAGATTCTTTACTTGGAGGGCAGCCAGATCCTTTTTACGCTACAGGTTAAATAAGGATCCCTTGCTTTCCTTCTTCACATCAAAGAACAAACCTCACTAAATTAGTGTGTACTATGGCTGGTGGCAATCCTCATCACCTCTGAAAAAAAGGAGGGAGAAGATTCCAGAGAATCCTGGGAATGGAAAGAATGAGAAATAAGCTCAGGAGTAAAGTGAAGGACACCAGTTATGACATGTCTGGCAAGTCATTTACTCACTGTACTCTCATGCTGGTCATATCCTATATCCTCTATAGCTCGGATGTTGATGATGTGGATCCCCTTCTCCTCAGCAGGTAGACAGGAATATGTCTTGTTCACCCTCATTTCTGTCTCCTCCGGAGCCTCTTTGAGATCTTCTGGCAGAAAATCCACCCCACAGAACGTCCTGTCTGCGTCTGGAAAGAAAAGGCACAGTTTCATCATGACACTTTTAATCCCAACCCTTGCTCCTCCCAGAGCCACCCAAAAGGTGAAACGTATCCTGTTCCTGCCTTCTTCTGCCAATGAGCCCTTGAGCAGGGCTCCCACCCCTTCTCCCTGCCTCCTCCACAGTCCTCTTTAGCCCTACATAGGTTTCCTCTTCTGGAGGAGGAGTGCTCGGTTAACTTTTAAGCACTGCTGTCTCGGGATGTGTTTACTCTGTGGTCTCATAAAGTAGCTTTATTTCTCAGTAAAAGAAGGAAAAAAGGGGGGAAAAAAGACAGTCTGAGAATGAGCTGGTGACAATAGGTGGCACGGAGTTTTCCCCTTTTCAGCAGGCATTGTCTTCAACAAGCACTTGTTCATGCTGAAAAACTAAGCAGTGGGTTTCCTCTCAAGTCCCTGTGCACTGTATCTGATTTATGGAACCATTCTTATTTAAGTAAATCTTGAAAGTCTCAGGTTTGCTCCCTCTCACCCTGCCAGACATCCATATGTTTCTGCTTCTTATTGAAGACTATAGATGGGTTAACGGATTTCATGTAAAAATTTCCCTACCAACTAAGCAACCAGACAAAATGCAAACCAGTGTTTGCATATGTGCATTTATGCTAGCAATAGAAGGCAAAGATTTCCAAGATTTTATTCATTTTGGCATTAAAATAAAACACTGCAGCATTATGGCCTTTTTTATTAACCACACAGGAACTGGATTTGGTTGTCTAATGAGTGAAGATAACGCAAAAATTTTAGAATGGATACCAAATTAACTTTCCCCCAGAAACGAACCACAAAACCAAGCAGAGTAGCACGCTGTAATAGCAGCTATATTACAACAGGCTGTTGTTGTAAATAGTCAACACTGACCCTGGAGCAGATAACAGCAGATGTCTTACACAATTACCCCATTAGGAAAAATACTTCCCTCCTACCTAGAGTTGCCCCTAAGCTTATGAGGGGAAGATAGATATTGCATGTTCATTAGCTATGTCTTAGACTAAGAGCATGCTATTCCTCTTCACCGAACTACTTGTCTGGATTTGATTGAACTTCAGGGCTGCTGTGGAAGGAAGAGACCAGGAAAATCTCATTCCCAAACAAGTTTGCAGACGAAGTAAAACTGAGCATAGCTGATAAGCTGGAGGGATCTCCAAAGGCTGGAAGAATTGCCTGAGAACAGCCTCATGGAACTCAACAAAGTCAGATATGAAGTCCTGCATTTGGACAGACTAGTCTCAAGCACAAACTAGGAATGAAGTGGATAAAATGTAGTTCCACAGAAAAGGACTTGAGGGTCCTAGTAGACAGGTTCAAAGTAAGTGACTGTCTTCAGTGGTGAAGGGTAGCTGCATATAGGACTCCATTAGTAAAAAAGCCAAGGCAGCAGATCTAAGAAAGCAATCTTCTTTATTTGACACTTCCCAGAACACAGCTTCTGTGTCCAGTTTTGACTCCCCAACACAAGAAGGACATTGACAAACTTGAACAAGTTTGTGTAAGAATGGTCAGAGGCCTTAAAGTGTGCAAGTAGAGGCTGAGCTACCTGTATTTATGCAGCACAAAGAAGACAAGACAAATGATGGGATCCAAGAGCTGGAGTACCTCTATTCTGGAGACAGGCTGACAGAGGTGGGCTTGTTCAGCCTGGAGAAGAGAAGGCTCTGGGGAGAGAGACGTTAGGCAAGGGTCTGTAGGGGCAAGACAAGGGAGAATGGTTTTACCTGACAGAGGGGAGATTCAGATGAGCTCTTAGGCAGAAGTTCTTCCCTGTGAGGGTGCTGAGGCGCTGGCACAGGTTGCCCAGAGAAGCTGTGGCTGCCCCATCCCTGGCAGTGTTCAAGGCCAGGTTGCACAGAGCTTGAAGCAACCTGGTCTAGTGGAAGGTGTCCCTGCCCATGGCAGGGGATGGAAGTGGGTGAGCTTTAAGGTCCCTTCCAAATCAAACCACTCTGTGATTCTATGATAAGCACACACTCCCGGAACACATGGGAATTGAAACAAATGTGATAAGCTGCAGAATCCGATGTACACGTTTTATTCTATAGCTGTAAAATACTCATTTAGTAATACAACAACTTTTGGAACTTTGTCAGCATAACCACCTAGGTTTTTATTTAAAAGAATGCCTGAAGCAACTTTCTAGAAACAATAACTTAAGTGCTATAAAAATCCTGTCTCCTTTTCCTCCTTTTGCATTTTGTTGGGCTTGTTTAGCCTGGAGAAGGCTCTGGGGAGACCTGAGAGAAGCATTCCAATGCCTAAAGGGGGCCTACAAGAAACCTGGAGAGGGTCTTTAGACAAGGGCTTGTAGGGACAGGACAAAGGGGAATGGCTTTAACGTGACAGAGGGGAGATTGAGATGAGCTCTTAGGCAGAAGTTCTTCCCTGTAAGGGTGGTGAGGCGCTGGCACAGTGTGCCCAGAGAAGCTGTGGCTGCCCCATCCCTGACAGTGTTCAAGGCCAGGTTAAAGGAGCTTGGAGCAACCTGGTCTAGTGGAAGGTGTCCCTACCCATGGCAGGCGGTCAGAACTGGATGAGCTTTAAGGTCCCTTCCAACACAAGCCAGTCTGGGATTCTATTGAGTATGGATCTGACTATACTGAGTATTTCACAATGAACCTGTGAACTGAAAAGTGCTAGTTTAGAAACTGCAATTGGGATGGATTAGGTTTAGAGCAGAAAATCACACGCTTCATTGAGTACAAACAAGCTAACGGTGCTCTGGAGCTGCACTGCTGAGCAGCATTTGTTAAGTCCACAGTAGAGAGCAAGGAGACCTGCTCAAATGATTCAGTGCTATTGTGCAAGCCCAAACAATCACCTAGCTGCGAGCATATATTTACACTGCTGTTTAGCCATCTGTAACTTGGCAGTATATTGGAAAGAATAAATACCTCAGGTAGACAATGAATCATACCAGTTTGGTTCATTATATCTACTGGAAAAGATGTGAAATGGGAGAACTTTAATGATACAATCTTAATTACAGCAAGTTGTATTTCTCTACTTCAAGATGATGTCAGGATGTAATACTAAGTAAAGCCATCCAAGCCATTTCGGTAACTACAAACGCACAGGGATTATACCTACTGCACTTATGCTGATTTGGCAGAGGACAAACCAGTCTCTTGTGGAACACAAGAGACTTTTTATATGGGATAGAGTTTTCTAAAGACTTAAAAACATCAACCTCTATTTTGAGTTAATTGTATTAAACAAGAACAATAATTTCATCTCAAAATAAATTCATGTTCAGAATTATTTATGGCAAGATAGTAGATGAAATATGAAGAGTATAGAGCACATGTGTGTCTTAATTCAGCTAGAGTCACATATTAATCTCTCTGTTGGGAGCTGAAAAAGGAGAGTATTGTGAAAATTGCTAGCTTTGCAGCATTAACTAATCCACTCTCTTCTATTTACTAAGCAGAAAACACTACAACAATGGTTTGAAGAAGCATTCAACATATTTCAACACAGCCATATAACCAACTAGCCCTTTCTCCTCTGTATCCACAGTTGCAGTTGTTAGGAAACCCATGGATTTTAAGAGAGCAGAAGTTCCTAATATTCCTGGAAGATAGACCCACCCGATGCTTCTTTTAGTTTATTATGTATTGCTTTGTCATTTACCAGCATTTGTTACTAACTGTAGAGCACCCTGCCAAGAACACAATATATAATGATACACTTTAAGGTATTCCTTGCATTGAATCATCCACATTCTGTAAGAGTGCAGAATGCTGAAAAGCATTTGATACCAATTTCTATCCCACGCATGAACCAGGTTTGAGGAAGTATTTGGTGAACATCAGTGTATAGAACTTCTACCTTCCTTAGCACCAGTGCTGCTGGGTTATTCCCATATTTCCTGTTAATAATGTTCCATTTTTCATAGGTAATATGAAAGAACAGGCTTTTAGGTAGCATTTATATTCACAAAAAGCTCCATAGGGTATGTGACCATACAGCTATCTTAACAGCTTTTTGGTAAGGGGTGAGGTAAAATGGGACAGCAAGAAAATAGCCAGATACTTGCAGCAGCTCTCCAACTGCCTTGATGCTCTCTGGGGGGATTTTCCCAGAAATCTAGGGATTTAATGAATTACCCTGAGCCACCAGCTGCAATTCAGAGCATGGAGATACTACAAAGACCTTGCGAACTGCAACAAAGTTGGATATGTTTTAGACATTCTGAAAGTATTTCTATGTAAGATGCACCAGGTACAAGGGGCTCTGTGCCATTCCCAGCACTAAATATACATGCACTATATTCATCTGAAGTAGATCAACTTATATGAATGACAATATAGGATACAAATTAATAAAACCCCCTCAAACTTGCAAACATCTGCTCCTTTGTTCAAACTTCATCTGTAAAACTCCTCCAACTCTTCTTGCAAAAATTAACAGTATTTAACTGATAGATTTTCCACTGCAGAAATTTGACATGTTATGCTTTAACTTTTACTTATTTGGATAATGCTCCTTCCTTGGGTTTTGATGACCAGGTGAACTAGAACTGAAAATCTGCTCTAGAAATGGGTATATTCTGCATTACTAGCCTCTGACTTGATCATCTACTTTTAACGTTAGTCATAATCACATCTAAACACTGAATATTGGCAGGAAAAAAAGAAAAAAAAAAAAAAAAAAAACAACACCAGATTTTTTTTCAAAATAAATGGAAAATTGCATTCACACAATACACTTTTAACAGAAGCATCCTGTACTAGTTCTAAAATGGAATTAGCAAATCTGCATGATGATATATATATATATATATAAATGAACAGCTATTTCATTGGTTAGTCTAAAACCAGTGACTTTGCCGAAGCTGGCTTATTTGAAAGTGGCTAGAACAAAAAAGTCAAAGAAATCTAAGTTTGATGTACTACTTTTTCTCAACAAAGAAGAGGCAGAAGTGTTGCAAGACAAAATTATTCAAGACTTTTAAATGTTCACATAGATATCT